ATTCTCAACGCCACTGTCCTGCCTCCGGTACACAGGAACAGCGGGCCAGTCCGGGCATCACGGCTGGCTGCCTGGTTCACCCTGCTTGAAAACATTCTCCATCCGCCGTTTGGACAGGACTCCTATAACTGTGGTTCCTCAGCTACCTGCTTCTCTCCATTTCAGCAGTTTAACCACAGCTTCCTGCCGTGACGAAAAGCGCGGGGGACAGACAGGCTTTGGGAGCAGTCATTCAGTCTTTCTAAGCCTTACTTCCCAGAGGTACTGTGCCCACCAGTTACGCTACCTCACTGGGCTGCTGTGGGCTGAGTTGATGGACGTGTGGCTTGGCCCTGCAGAACGGAGGGACGATTCATTTACTTGGCTCCTCCCCCGTGGCTTCCTGGAGCGGATGCTGTCGTCCTGGGTCTCAGTTCTCACAGTAGCGCACAGCCCTGGTTTGCTCAGGACCCCGAGACCCTTCCTGCGGCTGTCCCCAGGAGAGCATGCTTGTTTCCCTCCTTTCCTCCTTCCCGATTTGCGAGGCAGGGACCGTCCTGAGGAGCCAGGTTTTTGAGCCAGACCTTGACAAGCCATGAAGCCAGACTCAGACAAACTGCTCCCCTTCTTCTAGCAGGCAGCCAACCTGTCTATTCTTTGGACGAGCTCCTCGCCGTGGACTAAATCCCGAGGGGTCTGATGTCTTTCCGTGCCTTCCTCTGACTTCACTGTGTTGGTGCAAATCAGAAGGGAGTAGATTGGAGGCTGCTGCAGATAGACCTAAGAGATCAAGGGGCTGGCACTGTGGCATAGCGAGCAAACCGGGCGCCTGCAGCGCCAGCATCCCGTATGGGCGCCAGTTTGAGACCTGGCTGCTCCACTTCCAATCCAGCTCTCTGCTGTGGCCTGGGAAAGCAGTGGAAGATGGCCTAATCCTTGGGCTCCTATACCCGTCTGAGACCTGGAAGAAGCTTCTGGCTTCAGATCAGCCCAGCTGCAGCCACTGCAGCCATGTGGGGAGTGAACCAGCGGACGGATGACCTCTCTCTCTCAAAATCTTTAAAAAAAAAAGTAAAAAAAATCAAAGCTTGGGCTATAAAAGCTGTTGTTAAACAGGAGCTGTGGGTTAGCAGGTCTGTCCCTGCCATACCACCCCTCAGGAAGGTGCTGCACTAGAACTGAGGGAATTCTCAAAACCCAGCTAGGACAGGGTGGGTGCTTCGCTCCAAGGCACCGTTCATATTTAATCAGGCTAGGGTTACTACCTTTGTCTTGCTGCTGCTCTAGCTGGGCCTTGCTCAGTTGGATACTCAGAACCTGCTTCAAAATAGCTGACTGCTCTGGAAGTTCATGGAAATGAAGGCCTGGGGTATTATTTTTTTCCCCAAAATGAGTCAGGGACATTCCCTAGGCATTTATCATCCCTCACAGACGTACACCATTCCTGGAGGCTACTGGTGAGGACAGTTAAGTTTTAAAAGAGAATACATACATATATATATATATATATATATTATACACACACACAAATATTTGCATTTTTATTTTTAAATTTATTTGAAGGCAGAGTTAAGAGACACAGATCTTCCATGGGTCACTCTCCAAATGGCTGGGGCTGGGCCAGGCTGAAGCCAGGAGCCTGTAACTTGTCTCGCTCTCCCAAGGGGGTGCAAGGGCCCAAGCACTTGGGCCATCTTCTGTTCCTTACCAGGTATGTTAACAGGGAGCTGGATCAGAAGCAGAGCAGCCAGGTCTCAAACTGGCACCTGTCTGGGGTACCAGCGTCACAGGTGGCAGTTTTACCTGCTATGCCACAACACCAGTCCCCATATTTTTATCTACTTAGAAGGCAGAGACAAGACCTTTCATCCACTGGTTTGACTCCCCAAATGCCCACAATGGCAAGGGGCTGGCCTGCCTGACACCAGGAGCTGGGAACTCAATCCAGGTCTCTTCCTGCATTAGCAGGAAGTTGCAAGGACTTAAAACTATGCACTCCAGTACAGGATGCAGCCAACCCAAGTTGTGTTTTTGGTGTTACATCAAATGCCTACCCCATGAGAAAGTTCTTAAAGTTTCAGTGTTGCACAGATAGAGTTTAGCAGGATTGCATAATTGCCTCTCTGTACTCCCAACAGTGGTTTTATATATCTCAGCAATTATCAATTTTTAAAAAAGATGTATTTATTTTACTTGAAAGAGTTACACACAGAGAGAAGGAAAGGCAGAGAGAGTCTCCCATCTGCTGATTCATTCCTCAATTGGACACAACAGCTGGAGTTCCACTGATCTGAAGCCAGGAGCTTCTTCCGGGTCTCCCACGCGGGTGCAGGGGCCCAAGGGCTTGGGCCATCTTCTACTGCTATTCTAGGCCACAGCAGAGAGCTGGATCAGAAGTGGAGCAGCTGGGACTTGAATGGGTGCGCATATGGGATGCTGGCACTGCAGGCGGTGGCTTTACCAACTATGCCACAGCATCGGCCCCAGCAATTATTATTTTATATCATTTGTTAAGATGTTATGACAAGTCTTATTAATCTTTTGAGTGCAAATTAAGTGGTGATGGCAATTTTAACCTCAACTCCAGCTTTAGACCTCTATTCCTAACTACCATACTATTCTCAGTAGTCACTTAAGATCTGTGAAGGACCAAGGCCTGCCCCCACAACAGGTGCTTTAGCGAATGTTAGGCTAGAAGAGACAGCATGTTCCTTTTCATGGCTTGCATGACCTCAGGGAGCCTCACCCCCGTGTCCTTATGCATGATTTTTTTCTCCCTTTAAAACATCAATTCCACTGACTTCATGATTGGGGGAAAAGACCTGTTAAACAGTCGACAAATCTCACATTTACAATGCTACTCACTCTTGTTCTCTCCAGCCAATGATCTTTTTAAGAAAAACGAATCTCATCTGGTTAACTCTGAACTTAAAACCAGCAGCTTCCAGTTACTCTTGGGGTAAAAAGCAATTCTTTCCCGCTTACTTCTCTCAAGATTTCTTCTACCACACAGTGCCCTTGCAGGTTCCTAGTGCTTGCCCTGATCTTCCTAATCACAGACCTTCACAGGTGCAGCTGCCTCCACTTGAAACAACTTCCTCCAATCAGGCTAATGTTACCATATCAACCTGTGCTTATTCCTGCGTAGTTACTTCCACAAATATAATTAAGGTCTCATCTCACCACCATGTGCCCAGATCCTGGCTCACAGGATTCAAATACCTGGTAAGTAAATTCAGGAGCTTTTAGTATGAAAAACCTCATGGGATTCTAAATGATCTGAGAAACTTGGTCTGGGCAAATAAAAAATATATTTTTTTGATGTAGTGTCTCACGTAAGAACTGAGGTTTAGAAATACATATATTTGTTGTTCCAACAAAATAGTCCTCTTGTACTGGAAGAAAACTTACTCCTTTCCTAAGTTTTATGTTTTGAAGAGGGGAAGGAAATTTTTAAGGGAAAAATCTACCGTTTTGCAAGACTTTTTCTCCTTACCTCATGAAAGTTATTTTGTCATCAAAACTGCTCTTCAATAGTCACCAATCACTAGCCACATGTGGCTAATTATAACTAAACTACAAACGTACCAGCTATGTACTCAGCGTGTGGCTAGCGGCCACATACTGGACAGTACAGATGGAGAACACCTCCATTATCACTCGTTTTCTTGGGTAGTAACGATGGACCGTGCACATCAGTCACAAGGAAGCTTTCCTTTTTGCAGAACAGTAAGAATCCTGCCTTCCCGGGACACTGCTGAAGCCCACGTGGGCCTTCGTGTGCTCTAGCACTTGTGAGTGTGGGGAAGGTTCACCTCTGTAGAACCTCATATCCCCAGTGCTTCCCTCCCTCCACCTTCAAAACAATTAGGCAGGAATTTTCTTCAGGTGCCAGGACTGTTTTAGGTGTAAAATAGGCAGGAAAGTGCTGTGTAAGCACATTTAGTCAGAATTTGAATGTCACTGTTTCCAGAAGCAACAGTAAGTCTTAAGTAGGGTTGAGTCTATCATAAACTTGTTTAGTGGGTGTATAAACTGGTAAATGCCCATTAAGTCTTAATGAAAAAAATCACAGCACACACATTGCAATGTTGCTTCTGATCAGTAATTTTCTGCCCAAAGTGTTACAGTTCCCTTCTTCTGATCTATCATACTTTAGTCAAAGTGTAATCCTCCCAGAATATCACCATCTCGGGAAGAGAGATCTCTTTGAATAACTTGGAAGCAAATTTAAATGAACTACATTTCCAAAATTAAAAAAGGAAAAAATATCTATAAAAAGGAGACATATTTATATCACCCCAGGAAGCTCTGAAGTAAAATTGAGTCAACCCGACAGGTCTTTGGGGTCTTCCGGCTCAGCGTGCTGCAGGGGTTCCTGTGGGGGCCTGCGGTCTCTGACTACGAATGTGTTTCAAGATTATAGCTAACTCTTCACTATCTAGTACTGAATCTGTATTACCCACCTCACTAAATCCTCCAACTAAATTTCAAAGACTCACTCATTTGACTTTTATAGCTTGAGCACAACTAGGAAAGAATCAGAAGATACTAGTGGTAAATGAGTCACACAAACACAAAGACACTTAAGTGTTAGAAACGTTTATTTGTCAAAAAATAAAAAAAGGGGGGAGGAGTGGAATAAAACAAGGCTAAATTTCAGCTAATGCTGTACCACGATCACAGGTCAGACATGAAAAAAAAAAAACAAAAACAAAAAAACAAAAAACCAACAACAAAACCCCCAGTGGTCCTAGCAATTCTGAAAGATAGGCTTCAGTGTTAGAGTCCAGAGCTAACAGAGAAGAATAAAGGCTGCTTGCCACTACGTGGTAATTTCAAAGGGAGAGGAGATGCTGGAGGTAGGCAGGGAGAAGGTTCAACTCCTAGGGAAAGCCAGGTAAGAAGGGCTCCACTGCACAGGAAAAAGGGGATGCCAGCATATTCCTTACCTAGGGCTGCTCAGAGGCTGAGAATATAAGGAACAGAGTGAAAGGCTACAGAGACAAGTATCAGGAGGAAAGAAAAGTCAACTTAGAAGAATTAAATTAAGAAAGAAAACATAGTTGGTCACAAACTCCTTTGTTTACTGAAACATGAAGCAATGGAAACATCCCGGCAAAGGGGACCGCGCGGAGCAAGTTCTCATATATGACCGCAGCCCGAGGGTTCAGTCCGCAATTATCCTACCTGAAAGAGAGCACAACACAAGAGGCTTACACAATGCCTGGAGAGCAGCTTGGGTCCGAGTACAAGGGCCCTGGTCCCGTCCTGTATTCCAGGGGGAAGAAAAAGAACAAAACAAAATGAAGTCAGACCGGATCAAACTTACATCCCATGTAATTACCTAGGAGTCTACTAACAGATACACATAGGAATCTGCACCTAGCACAGGATGCAGTCTAGCTGGAAGCCTGCTGTGTTAGTGATAAATACATCATTCTCATTTTCTTACTCATCTTGTAGGCAAGATGACCTCTATGACAGAGCTAATGTCGGTGCCACAAAGGGTATACATACATTATCCAAAACAACAGTTTAATTTTGGGGTTCAGGAAAGCAGATGCTGAGATCACAAATAAGGCCAATTGTACTATTCTGAACGTGTTTCATAGCAAACAAACTTTGAGAAACGACAGTCGCTGAGAATAGGGTGTTGAGGAGCAAAGTGGTCATTGCACACATCTACATGTCACGGTGTCAGGTTAGAGCCACAGTTCTAGTAGTTCTCCTAACCAAGCAAATCTCCCTTGCCAAATCAAAAGAGGAATCATTCCCAGAATTCTCTAATTCTTCCACTGATGATGGGAACTCCAGACACCAATGGCTGGGGGGAAAATAAAAGTTAACTCACACCAAGTTCCTCTACTTATTACAGACAAAGGGCCAAATCTTGGTCTTGATCTGTGCCAATCGACTTCAAAAGTTGTGACGTTCTTGGATCAGTTCTGCTAGGGTGAGACCCGAATTTGGCTCCCCAGCAGTTCTGGAGTATTTCATCCTGGCAGCCTCATTAACATCAGGCTCCTGGGACTGCAACCAACTCAGGGTTATTCAGTCCATCTGAGGTTCACACCTGGAAGGTAAGTTTCTTTAAAAGTCATCACTAAAAAGAGGTTAGTTGAACAATCACTGCTCGCAGTCAGTCAAAATTTACTTTTCAAATGCCCAGCCATACCCTTTAAAGACCAAAACATACTTAAAGAATTAACTCTGAAACATATTTGAGAGAAATAGAAGTTATCTGGCAGACTGACACCATCTTTCCTCAGAGGTGTTTTCCACCTCATGATAATTCAATTGTAAAAACGCTACAGGCTGGGAGACTACCCACATCATATATGAACATATACTGCTACACAACGGCCTCAGGAGATCCAAGTCTTGCTATACTTGGCCATCCAGGATATACATTATCACAGCTTCATGCCGTATTTACTTCTTACTTCACACAAAGACCAAATTCCTATAGCTTTGTCATCTTCCATACATAACACCAGTTAGGAACACTGGAAACCCTACGGTAACTCAGTTGAACTTTGCTACTAGGACTCTTAATTCAAGTGATGTTCAAGGTACAGGGAAAATGTCAGAATATAAGATTCTCATGATACCATTTCCACTTGGAAGAAAAGATTTATTGATCTCTAGATATTCCTAATTATTACTGCCATTTCTAACACTTTCGGTACACATTTCCTAAAGTAGGAGACATTAAATTTTGAGTCGCCACCTATGGGATTTTTATACACAGAAAATTTACCAGTTGAATTCCTTAAATGTTTCTTAAAAACAAACTGCTAGGAGAATGGGAAGTACCAGGCTCTCAACGATGGGCATCACAGGCTACTCGCAGCTAAGGGTTTCAGTGACTGAGTAGAGCAAGGTGCTTGCATTGCTAGCAGGAAAAGGACTGCACGGGCAGAACATGCAGCTTCCAGGCAACTAAACATTCCACATTCACAGGCCTTTATCTGCCTTCTGCATACTGTCAAAAGTTTCCTTTTAATACAGGCTAATGGCCCAAGGTAAGGTTTTACGGTCAACCAGAAGCCTAATGTTGTAATACTCACTGTGGCATCATTACTACTGAACCTGAGCCTAACACATAGTGACTTGCAGTGCAGAGTGCAGGGTTTTGGAATCAGGTCTGAGCTTGAGTTTTGGATCTACCTCTAGAAGGCTTAATTCCCTTCTTTTTAAAAGGAGAAAGTATCAGGCTGACTGTCTAGATCAGGAATGGCCTAGTACAAGGCCCACAGAATCATGTGGTCTGGCCCTGCCAAGGAAATCTCAGGTGGGCCTTGCAGTCCCATCCATCTACAGCAGGCTAATTTTCACACTGACCTGGCCCTTGGCAGAAAAAAAGGTTTTCCACCCTGGGGATGAATCAGAGGGTCACAACAAATGATTCTTTCTTAAATGCTTTTCTGTACCCCAAGTCTGCTTACAACTGATGAGAGTATTCTAATAAACCAAGTTTGTTGAGTCACACATGAAAATCTGAGTAGGCCAAATGAACCTCTGGCCTAAGCGTGGGAAACAGGACTAACATGGACAGAACACCGCCCAACAGCAGATGGCCCTGGCCTCCTCTACTAAGTATGGGTCTCATTCAGGGGAACTAAATGGAATTTCTTAACCACACCCACCCAGCTCTCACCTCCAGTTTTTAAAAGGCTGAGTACCGTGCTCGGTCCACATACTGCTCCCGCTCATACCGGGCCATGTCATACAGAGAATTCCGTGCAGCTGCTGAAGCCTGAGACAACTCGCTCTCTGGCCCATAACCGTAGCCCTCTCCGACTGTGGGGAGCACAGCTGCAGCACGACGCAGTGGGCTTCTGTCCCTTCCGTAGTAGGAGGAAGAGGTGGCAGCGGCAGCAGCCATAGCAGCCGAGGTGGCGGCAGCGCCAGAGTTCTGCAGTAGGTGTCTGTCATAGGGGTCGACAGAAGTGGAGTTGAGGTGACTGGTAACACCCGTACTCTGGACTTGAGGCAGGTGGGACATGGTTTGCTCTGCGTAGTTGTATGCGGAAGCTGCGGCAGCTGCTGCTACTGCCTCATAAGAGCGGACTCGGTAGCGCTTATAGTAGTCCAGTGCTCCATAGGCGTCGTTGTAATACATGGATTCCCCATAACCCATGGTGTAAGGTGTGCGCACTGCTCCGTACTGTTCATTGTACTGCTCAGTGAAGTCTGCCACGCGGCCTGTACGGTCTACTGGGCACTCTTTGGACCAGTGCCCCTCTTTCCCGCACCGATAGCAGCCGCTCTGGTCTCCCATCCCGGGCGCAGTCCTAAGCCGGCTGGTGGACAACTGCACGTGCATTCGTTTGCCTTGAGGAAACAAATATAAGATTTATTATACTTCACTGACATTCACTATCCTCCCCAAAATGAAAATGAACTAGTTGGCCTAACATACACATACATACACTCACTCCTTTTAACCTCTCCCACCCCCACAATTTAAGCAATCCCTTCTCCAAAATGTAGTTGAAATTTTAATACAGACGAGAGCCAGAAAACTTAAGTCCCCAGAGACCTGTCAATACTCTGATTGCACAGAGACCAGACTCCTTCCTGTTTCTCGCTGCACAATTTTCCCTTTTCCCTCCAAACACAGAAACAAAAGGTTTCCATTTCTCACTGCTAAGACTATTGTTAATTCCAAAAATTCAAAACCTGCCAGTACTTCCAAATCAAATATTCAACCAACCAGTTCGGCTAGATTTGGAAGGCATCTTACCCACCTCTCTTGATTTACTCAGAACCACAGGACGTGAGCATTTACTGAAGCTTAAAAACCACAGTAATCTTCTGTCCATCTTGTTTTCGCCAGCAATTTTTGCAGTGTCACCAAAAGGCTCTCTGTTAGTACATAGGTCATACTTGGCTCCTCATCTGCTTCATCTCCAGTGCCTCTGGGCGCTGTAAGATCCTCCTGATTTCAGCCCTACTCCTATTTTCTCTACAAGGATGTCTCCATCCCTACTGTGGCGAAAAAAAACCCACTTGACCAAGATCACTCAATAAGAAATTAGCAAGATTTTAAAACAGTACTGGTTTCTTAAGGACAATGTGTTTCCATGTAATGAGAAGATCAGTGTTGCCATGTAGTTTATGATTCTGTATAGTGGATTATCTACTTGTTAGAAGAAAAAAGTGGCATAAACCTAAAGACTTCTGGGCACCCATACAAAATAACCCACATCCATACTCAGTACTTCCAGGAAACGACCAGTACCGAGGAATAGCTAAGACGAGAAACCATTTTTGCTCACAGCTTGTATACCATCAAACCCACTGACTCATTGATCAAAGCATCCAGTCTCTCTTTTCTCTGACAGGCAGAGCAGACAGTGAAAGACAGACCTTCCTTCAGTTGGTTCACCTCCTAAATGGCCGCTACGGCTGGCGCACTGCGCCGATCCAAAGCCAGGAGCCAGGTGCTTCCTCCTGGTCTCCCATGTGGGTGCAGGGCCCAAGCACTTAGGCCATTCTCCACTGCACTCCCGGGCCACAGCAGAGAGCTGGACTGGAAGAGGGGCAACCGGGACAGAACCAGTGCCGCCGGCACTGCAGGCAGAGGATTAGCCTAGTGAGCTGTGCCGCCAGCCAGCATCCAGTCTCTTAAAAGCAGTTTAAGAAAAGTAGTATTTCTGGCAGTAATTTAGTCCCAAACAGCCTCTGTCTTTGGAGAGCAAGTCAATGTATTTCAAATTGTAGCCAAAAGGCAGCTAGTACAGATGTAGAGAACAAAGGCTTCTTGTCACTCTCTGGAGGGCTGCTCTGAACAGAGTCCCCCTCTGCGATCACAAGTTGCTCTCTCTGACAGACCTTGTCCTGGATGCAGCTATGTGACAGGAGGCCTCATGCTCCACTATGCTGTTGGGAACAGCCCAGTTCAGCATGGCAGCCAGAACAGCACCATGCACTGACCCCGGGAGGGGAGCGAGGTTAGTGGAGTAGCATCACCTCAGTCAAACTCAGTTGTGGGGGTGTCCAGGATTCCTATCACCCCAGTTTCTAGTACCGGCTACCTCCAACCTGGAGCCCATTATTTTACAAAATAAAGATGCTCAGGCTTTTGACCTCCAGTAACTAATACACAAGCAGCATCCATCAGCAGCAGTGACAGAATACAAATGGCAATAATTCAGTGAAGCATCATTTTAAACACCCCACTGTTTTCAGATGTAAAAACTCCCATCATAATTCTTAGACATTATTAAGGGTGTTTTGGCCCTAATTTATACCTCAAACGTTAAGTTTCCTATAATTTAGAGGATTACAAGTTACTTGGCTTTCAAACTTGCATGGTAACATTATAGGCTGCGTGAGACACAAACTGTTCTAATTCTGAAGTTAGAGAACTACGCCAATTCTGAAACACAGCCAATCCACAGACCCAGCAGTAACACTTTTAAGGGAAGAAAATTAAACTTGTACTCTATTTTTATGATTTTACATTGATGTTTCTCTTACTACCGCCAATCTTCATTTCTACTTTTCTTATTTTCAAAGGTGGTTATTATTAAGTCTGTAAACATCTGTGGCAAAATCCACTTCTGTAGTTGTGAAAAGGATGCTAGTAAAAATTTTCACCTAGAACTGAAAGATCTGTAATAGAAAAGACTTTTTCTTTTTTTAAAGTCTTTCCAAAGGCTATAACTAGGCTTTTAAGCAAAGGTCTTATAAATAATTAAAATAGCCTGCAATTCTCTATTACCATTAGCAATAGAGCAGAGAGAGTTACTACACTTGGACAGGCCACAAGCTTAAAGACTCAGATCTCCAAAGGGTACTAAAATCTGCTACCACCATTTTCCAAAACCAGCCCAACAGAAGTATTTCTTTAAAAAACTAAACGGAGAAGAGTATTAAGATGTTGACATGTGGAAAACTTGGGGTCCTGATTTCTGAGCTCCTGTCATGTGCCGGATTCCAGAGAAGAGCAGGGACGCTATGCTATGGCTGCCACAGTACACAGCACTCTGGCTTCATGCTTGTTTACAAATATGAGAGACAAAACGAGACACAGGAAATCTGACTCTCAATGCAGCTGCCTGACTGGAGTGCTTGAGAACTTCAGGGTCTTCTAGGCAAAGTGAGTGCTAACGAGATAGCAGTTCCCTTCTCTGCTGCTTGCTCTCAGAAGTCACACTACGCAGAAGCCGAAACAGTGGCTGTAAATATAAATAATGGCTCAAAAGACCCAAGTGGCACTTTCAAGAGGTCACTCCTCATTAGATGACTGAAATGGCTTTAAATCTGTCAAACTGGCATTTAGAGTTCTGTAAAACTGAACCTTACTACCCAACACTAAGCATTCTCTTGTCATCTGGGGGAAAAAACAAAACCAAACCAGAGGTGGTTATACAAATGTCTGTATGTAAAACTCAGAGTAGAATGCTCCCTCCAGAGGAGCCAAGGAAAGAACATGAAAACTAAATAAACTAAACTTTTCTTTTTCAATCCATCCACTTCCCAATGAGATGACATTTTAAAAAACCTCATGGATCCACTGCATTACTGATATCCACATCTTAATCACACCTGCTTTATAAGAGTATTAAAACACACACTCACCCTAAGCCAGATCTCCAATTAGCTGATTTCCCTTATACATATTTTTATCTCTTTCCTTTTATTCAATTGCATATTAAAAAGGTAAGGGCATGTAGTATCTGCAGAGTTTTTGCTCATTTTATATAAAAAACCCACGACATGTAAATAAAGCTTAAATAACTTTCTGAACATACTTAGAAACATGGCTGCAGCCATGCACCTTTCACCACAGTGCCTTTGCTGTGAAAACACTTTCCAATCTATTACCTCACGCCAGCCTCACTACCGTCCTGTGGGGCAGGTATGGCAGGAGTCAGCAACACTACTTTGCAAATGGAGAGAACGAAGGACAGCGAGGTGAAACTCTCGTCCGATGTCAAGTAGCAGGCACCTGAAACTTTTGCCCTGTGTGGGGAACATCGCCTGCAAAATCATTTGGTCTGGCCCTGCCAAGGCAACCACAGGCAGGACTCAAAATTCAATTGATCTCCGGCAGGCTAATTTTTAAGCTGGTAATTTTGTATGGCTTGTGAATGATGCTGTAAATATCCAAACGGCCTTTGGCCCTAAAAGGTTCCCCACCTTTGCTTTAAGGAGCACCTAAAGGCCAAGCAGCTAAGCAGCGTGGGGAGTAACCGGCTGAAGCTAGGGACACCTAATGGTGCTCCAAACTTTCTTACCTTTTTCTGGTCAGTTTTTCCTTTCCTCTTTCTCCCATTCTGTTTTCGAGGCTTAGCGGAGGACCCTTAATTGCTTACCTAGGCACATGTGGCTAGAGGCTGCCTAATTAGCATGGTTCTCCAGTCTTCAGACACCCTCGTCTGGTATTAACACCACCACACGTACCTCTACTTCCCTACTACCGGCATAAACAATGCCGTATTCGCTGTGATGCCCCGACTGGAATCTCCGCATCAGCAGGGCCATCGTCCTCACGACACCTGGCATTTTCTGAGACTGCCTTTCTTCCCCTTCAGGGCAATGGCACGTGGAGAACCACCATGGCATGCTCCTGGCTCTGTCTGCAGTCCACAGATTGAACAAATGTGGGCACCTCAAAGATCTCCCCACCCGCTCAATTCAGATTCACCACCCAGATGTATAATACAGGGCTACTCTCCTTTTCCTCTTTCCCATGGCCACCCATCACCGCAGGCCATGAAGAGTATAAATCCTAAGCATTTAACCCTCGAACAATGAGACTTCCTGGTCGTAAGGGAAACAGGTAAGCCGTCATCCTCTAAGCTTCCGACAGCACTCAATCAATGAAGCCATAGGATAACGTAATTTCTGATGCTGTCTAGTTAAGGAACCTCTTAGCAAACTCAGAAAGAGGAAGTATTTGATTCCTCAACGGCAAATAATGTTTACAAGCAATAAACAATCCATTATTTCCATTAACACAGAATTGAAGCCCCCGCCCCCCCCCCCACGGCCGGACCTGCCTGTCTGAGCTAGACCCCACTCAGCTCGCTAGCCAGGCCCCAGGGTGTTCACCTTGGAACTCTGTGTTATCAAGGCCCCTGATGGCCTCCACCGCGTCCTCCGCCCGCTCCATGTGCACGAAGGCATAATCCTTCACGATGTCACACTCGATGACAGGCCCGTACTCCTCAAACTTGGCCCGCAGCTCCTGGTTGGTGCACGTGGGGCTGATGTTGCCCACGTGCAGCTTGGTTGAAGCCTTGCTCTTGTTCTTGCTGGCTTCCACGTTGATGTTCACGCCGTGGAGCTTGTAGTGGTGCAGGTTGCGGATGGCATCCTCGGCCGCCGTCTTGTCCTCGATGTGCACGAAGCCGTAGTTCTTGATGATGTCGCATTCCAGCACCTTCCCGTACTGCTCGAACAGCGAGCGGATCTCCTGCTCGGTGGCCTCCCGGGGCAGGTTTCCGATGAACAGCTTCACCATCGTGACGAGAGCCTGGCAGGGAGACAGGGCCGGGGTGGGGAGCGCCGCGCAGTTTAACCCCACGAAGTGGCGGGTGCCCTCAAGACCGTCCCACGGAGTCCCCTCCGGGGAGGAGGGAGCAGCGCGCGCCGCGCCAAAGGACGTCGGGGTCGGCGTGCGCCGCGCAGCCCGCCCGCCTCGCGGAACGAGGCGCGCCGAGGAAGAGGGGCGGCGGGGCCGCGTCTCCACGCAGCAGGAACAGGGAACGTCCGAGCGGAAGGCCAGAGGCTTCCCGGGGTCCCGGTGGCGGTGTGGAGGCAAACCCGGCGCCTCTCCTCCGCGGGGCCCGCCTTCCACGGTCTCCGCGAATACGGGGCGCCCTCGGCTCCCGGCCGGGACCCGCTCCCGGGCTCCTTCACCCCAACAAAGGCTCGCCCGACCCCCGCCCCGCCCCTCCGGCCCGCGGCCCCGCCTCCTCCCGTTGTCTCCCCGGCCCTGCCGCCGCAGGACGAGGACCTCAAACCCGGACCCATCCCCGTCCGCGAGGGCCCGGCCCGGCCGCAGGCTCCCCACACGCCCACAGGCCCCCCTCGTACCTCCGGGTGGCGGCGGCGGTGGCGGCGGCTCCCGCGTCAGAGAGAACCTTACAAAATGGCGACGGCCGCTCGAGCCTCGGCGCGACCGGGCCCTTTCTCGCGCGCCAGCTCACGCACGCGCGAGTGCGCGCTGCCGCCCTCCCCTGCGCCTCGCGGGAGCCGGGCGGCCAATCCCGCGGCCTCAGACAAACGACCGCCCCGTGCTGGGGCGGGGCCAGCGGCTGACGCTGCTGCGGAGCGGAGGTCAGCCCGCCCCTGGCCGCAGCCAGCCAATCACCATTCTGGGAGAGGGCTGGCAATCACGCGTCAGAAGGGCTCGGGACGCAACCACCGCCTGGGTGGAGTCGGCCGCTCGGGGGAGTCGCGGAGCCTCACAATGGAACGTGCTATTGGGCGGCCGGGGCGGGGGAGGCTGGTGACAAAGGGTTCGCTCACGCGGGCTGCCCCGGAGCGGCGTGGCCTGCGCTTCCCCGGCGGACCTCGCCCCGCCTGGTAGCAGGACGTGCAGAGGTGCTGTGGGGAGCGCCGGGGAGCGGGCAGGCGGCTGCGGCAGGGCGGGGGCCCTCGGCCTGTGGCGGAGTGTGAGCCCGGCCTGTGTCCGCTCCGTCCCACAGGGACGCTTGGCCGGCTGGGCCGGGGCCCAGAGTCCGCTTGTCTGGGGGTGGACGGGGCTTCCGCGGCCACGCGGCTGCCCGCCAGCTTTCCGGCCCGCACGGCCCCGCCGTGTCCGAGACACCGCCCGGTGGCGGGGCGAAGCTTCTAGATGAATTACCCTCACCCCAGCGCAGCACAAGGCCTGCCTGCGGGTTTCTCCTTTTCTTTTAAAGATTTTATTGAATTGAAAGAGTTACACAGAAAAGAGGCAGAGAGCGCGAGGGCTAGAGAGGGGTCCTCCCTCCGCAGGTTCGCCCCCCAGATGGGGCAGTGCGGGCTACTGCACCCCCTCCCTGCCCTCGCCTGCCTCCCGGCTCTGGTCCCGGCCCTTGACCGCCGTTCCCCTCCCTCGCAGGCGGGCTTTCCCATGAGTTGATCGTGGAACTGTCTTGTGTTCTTTTTGATGCACGTTTTTCCTATTCTTAAAAAAAAAAATTGATTGTGGAACTTTCCAGAAAGGCACGACGGGTGCTGCGGGCCCTGCACTGCCGCGGGCCCTCCCCAGCCCTAACGAGTGTCTGACGTCACGTGTTGCCGAGTGGTTTATCAGCCTTTCCTTTTTTTGCTCAAGTATTTAAAGCAAATCTCAGCCCTGTCATTTCACCTGGAGTACTCCACGTCTAATTTAAAATACCGGTGCTAATGTCATTGAATTTTTGTGCTCAGAGTTCCCCTAGGTTGTCACGAATGTCTCTTTTTTTTTTTTTTTTTTTTTTTGACAGGCAGAGTGGACAGTGAGAGAGAGAGACAGAGAGAGAAAGGTCTTCCTTTGCCGCTGGTTCACCCTCCAATGGCCGCCGCTGCAGCCGGCGCACCGCGCTGATCCTGGCAGGAGCCAGGAGCCAGGTGCTTTTCCTGGTCTCCCATGGGGTGCAGGGCCCAAGCACCTGGGCCATCCTCCACTGCACTCCCTGGCCATAGCAGAGAGCTGGCCTGGAAGAGGGGCAACCGGGACAGAATCCGGCGCCCCAACCGGGACTAGAACCCGGTGTGCCGGCGCCGCAAGGTGGAGGATTAGCCTATTGAGCCACGGCGCCGGCTCACGAATGTCTCTTTACTGTTGGTTTCACCTCCTCCTCCTTTTAATGATTTATTTATTTGAAAGGCAGAGTTAGAGAGAGGGAGAGAGGGCAGAGGAGGGGAGGGGAGGGGAAGGGAGATCTTCCACGTGCTGGTTCACTCCCCAAATGGCTGCACCAGCCATTGCCAGGCCAAGCTGAAGCCAGAGCTGCTTCCAGGTCCCCCACGTGGGTGCAGGGCCCAAGCACTTGGCCCGTCCTCCACTGCCTTCCCGGGTGCATCAGCCGGGACAGGAACCCACTGTGCCACAAAGCTGGCCCCTACAGTTGGTTTCTTCTCATCTGTCCCTAAATAAGGCCTGCGTGTTGTGCATTTGTATAAATTATGTAAATGTGCAGTGCTGTGTTGTGTAGTTCATTGCTTCCTACTCTTTTCACTAAGTGCTATGTGCCATCTAACTCCATGGGGGGCGCCTACAGAGCTTACGTAGCTGTCTCTGGGTATAGGAGACTAATTCCCCGTCACTAAAATTATGAACAGAGTTGAAGTTAACATCCTTATATGTGTGCCCTAATTCTGAAAATTTGGGTGGACATGGGCCCAGGGTGACATGGCTAGGTTGCTGGTCACTGGGTCTCCATGGTGTTGTCCTCTGGAGACAGCTGTGCCGGCTGCCCCCACCTGCCGCAGACGAGGGGCCAAGCTTTGGCGTTACCTGGTTTTGTTTGCTCGTCTACTGGGCACAAAGGGATACTTCACTGTTGCTTTAACCTACCCATCTGGTTATGAATGACTTTAAGCATCTCTTAAAAAGTTGTTTATTTGAAAGGCAGAATAATAGAAAGATCTTCCATCCATTGGTTGACTTCCCAAACGGCCACAAACAGCCAGGGCTCGGCCAGGTTGAAAGCAGGAGGCAGGGACTCCATCCAGGTCTCCCCCATGCGTGGTACTTGGCTAGTCTCCACTGCCTTCCCAGCAGTCTTAGGACGACGCTGGATTGGAAGCAGAACAGCTGAGACTCGAACCCGTGCTTTTGGACGGATGCCAGCTGGCAGGCAGAGGCTTAACCAGGGCCCCACAAGCTCAGCCCTGAGCCTCTCCTCTTGTTTGTTTGTTTGTTTGTTTTTTTGAGGGGGGGTTGCTCTTGCAGACTTCCCGTTTATCCTTTCCAGGGTGAAGTCTCCTTTTGTTGCCTTTAGGACTTCCCTGTACTTTCTAGGTATTGAGCTCCTATTGGCTTCTAATCTCTTCCTCACCCCCCAGTTAACTTTGTTGTTTTCACTGAGCGGAAATCCTTTTTAAATGCAGTTGATCTTCTGGTGGTTGGTGTCCTCCGACTCCTCGGGGGCCACGGGACAGTCTGCGTCTTCTTCCACTAGCGTTACAGATCTTGCCGCTTTTAGGCCTGTAACCCACTACTGTCCAACAGAAACAGAAGCCACCCATGAGGGGACCTCAGAAAGCTTGTGGAAAGATTAAAAGACAATTTTATCCTGCTACCAAAAAAATGGGAAAATCTATGCACAATTTTTTCATAGTATGTGCTTTCCGTGAACTTGTTGAAGACGCCTCATATGTTATTTAAAATTTTCCAGGACGTGCATTCAAAAAGTAAAACAAAAATTGGGGCCAGCGCCGTGGCTCACTCGGTTAATCCTCCGCCTGTGGCGCCAGCATCCCATGTGGGCGCCAGGTTCTAGTCCCGGTTGCCCCTCTTCCAGGCCAGCTCTCTGCTGTGGCCCAGGAGTGCAGTGGAGGATGGCCCAAGTGCTTGGGCCCTGCACCCCATGGGAGACCAGGAGAAGCACCTGGCTCCTGCCTTCGGATCGGCGCAGCGCCGGCCATGGCGGCCATTTGGGGGGTGAACCAACGGAAGGAAGACCTTTCTCTGTCCCTCTCACTGTCTAACTCTGTCAAATAAATAAATAAATAAGAAATTCACTTTAATAATGTTGCTTTGACATATAAATCAGTATAAAAACTAAGATTTTAAAGTTCTTTTTTCCTCTGAACTTCTCAAAATCTGCTTATGTTCTCCTTGTAGCACATCAGTTTGGCCTGGCCCCTTGGCAAGTGCTCAGTGGCCACACGTGGCCCGCGGCTGCCGCACCGCCCGGCAGGTGGAGAGTCCCCCTGCAGGGTGACAGGCAGTACAAGGTCGTCACCGCCCGCGTCCTTACACTCGGTGCCCTTCCGGCCCTCACCGCTCCGCGCCGCCTCCCATCTCTCCTGGTGGAAGACTTCTGTCTTCTACCCACAGCTGACGCTGTCTCCCCAGACTCACTCCCCGCTCCTAGGCGAATCCTCTCGGACGCCCTGTCCTCACGGAATCCCGCCGTGGCTCCAGCTGCCCGTGTATGCAGGTGGTGCTCAGACCACAGCAGCAGCAGCAGGCGGTCCTACCTGCACCACTAAAATCACCACTCAGTGGCATCTCTGCCCCAGGCACGTTTTCTCCTGAAACGTCCAATTATGGCTTCACCCCCCCCCCCCCCCCCGCCCCGTCTTGCCCCCGTGGAGTACGGACACCCGGATTCCTGACACGCCCCACGCGCGCTCTTGCAGACAAGACAGGCATCTGCAGTGCCAACCTGTGGTTCCCTTTGGCCCCACGGCACACTCTTCCAGTGTATCACCCCCACTTACAGTGGGACATGGAAGCCAGGGCGCCAGAGCTCATGTGTGGAGCCGTCTGGGCCGTGCTGTGCCAGTCCTGGGCCGGCGTGGCGGCTCTTTGTCAGGGCGGAGGGTAATCGGGGCCGTTGGCCAGTCATGCTCAACGTGTTTTCCTGCACAGATGGCCGTCTGCGCAGGGAAAACGAGGCAAAGACAAAGTTTTCCTGAAGGTGACCACCAAGGCGTGGTTCAGGTCGCCCAGGAACCCCCAGGCGCCAAGTCCGCGGAAGGGGAGGGGCTTCCCGCCCCTCGGTCTAGAACCTGTATGTGACCGTGCGCCCAAGGGCACTGCAGAAAGCTCCGGGGAGATGGAAGTAAATGATAAATTTATTTTGCTGCAAAAATTTGGAAATTCATGTATCAGTTTTTCATATTACACATTTTTCCGTGATCTTTTGGGAGAACACTCCTATTTACACACTTCGGGTGCACCTCATGGCTTCCGCCGGTCAGTGGGTTGGGCCCCTGCCCCCTCTCTCATCCCTGCGTGACCCCGCTCCCTCCAGTCTGTCCGGGAGGAGACAGGAAGTGGGTCCACGAGCTGACCAGCTGACCGCTCCCTGCTGGGGTCCAGAGAAGCCTGAGTGAGAGCAGCTGCTGCCTTCCACCGTGAACCCCGCTGCTGAGCTTCGTCCATCCCGGGGTGAACGGCTTTAAAGGAGGATTTGGCACTGGTCACCCCAGCAAATGGGAGGTCGTTACAGTGGGGAGGTGAGACCGAGGCAGGGAGACTCTCGCAATAACAGGCGCTTGGAGTCTGGGGCCGGGCAGAGCCGGCACACAGGAGCCGGGGCCACACGGAGGGGCCTGGGCCGGGCAGAGCCGGCACACAGGAGCCGGGGCCACAGCGAGGGGCCTGGGCCGGGCAGAGCTGGCACACAGGAGCCCGGGGCCACACGGAGGGCCTGGGCCGGGCAGAGCTGGCACACAGGAGCCGGGGCCACACGGAGGGGCCTGGGCCGGGCAGAGCCGGCACACAGGAGCCCGGGGCCACACGGAGGGCCTGGGCCGGGCAGAGCTGGCACACAGGAGCCGGGGCCACACGGAGGGCCTGGGCCGGGCAGAGCTGGCACACAGGAGCCGGGGCCACACGGAGAGGCCTGAGCCGAGCAGAGCCGGCACACAGGAGCCGGGGCCACACGGAGGGGCCTGGGCCGGGCAGAGCCGGCACACAGGAGCCGGGGCCACAGCGAGGGGCCTGGGCCGGGCAGAGCCGGCACACAGGAGCCGGGGCCACACGGAGGGGCCTGGGCCGGGCAGAGCCGGCACACAGGAGCCGGGGCCACACGGAGGGGCCTGGGCCGGGCAGAGGGGCTGCGGTCAGGAAAGCAAAGACACCCGGAAGCAGTGGAAGCGGCTGAGCTGTTTAATCCCCTCCTCGGCCAGACTCAAGGCTGCAGGCCACTGACAGCAGCCAGACACGGAGTGGCCACTCGAGTCCGAGGGGGAGGGGCGGGGAGGGGCGCACCTGGACTCCCCTGGCTCTGTCACCTGGCACTCCCGCCCCCAGGTCCTGCTTCAGCTCTGGGAGGGTCCTGGCCGGTCCCCAGGGGCAGGGAGCTGGGTGGCGGATGGCTTGCCGGAGCTGTGGTGGGAGAAGGGTGGCGAGGCCGGGGCGCACGGCCCCCTGCCCCGTGGCCTATGTCATCCGCATGGCAGCGGGGGTGGAGGCATAAGGTGGGGCCGGAGGGAAGAGGGGCGAGTGGGAGGGAGGATTGGGGGCTGCCTGGGTCCCACCACCAGTCTGGAGTCAAACAGCGGAAGAGGGCTGCTCCTGGGAACACGGGCTTGTCCCAAGTGACAGTCCCTGGTGGTGGGCTGGCCTTGGCAACGAACCCTAGCAGCAGGCAGTTGTCCTGACGAGAGGGCGGTCCCTGTCGACAGTCCTGGCAGTTTCCTGAACGCGGAGGGGAGCTGGCCTGGCGGGATCTCGCCTGCCCTCAGCTACTTGTTCTTCTTGAAGAAGCTGAAACGCTTCTCTCGCTCTCGTTCTCGGCCATCCTTGCCGCGCAGCACGACGGGCCCCTCGGCCCCGGCCGGGGACACGGGGGGCATGGTCATGGCCCGGGTCATGCCTCGAGTGCCGCTGGGCGCTGCTGGCTCCTCCGGCTCTCCAGAGGCCGAGGAGGCGGCGGCAATGGCCGCGTTCACCACGCGCAGCCACGAGCTCATCTCCGCCTGCAGGGGACGCACAGGCAACGGGTCAGCTCCACGGACACGGCGCGGGGGCAGCAGGCAGGGTCAAGGGAGGAGGAGGGGAAGGAAGAACGCCGGTTTGACCCCTGGCACACGGGGAGCGTGCTTGGGTGCGACCGTCACGGCTGCCCAGCTGGCACACCGTGGGCTGTTGGGCTGCACGGGGCACGCAGCCCAAGACAGAGAGAGGCAAGGAAAGGAAGCGCCCCGGGAGACGGGCCCGGGGAGACGGGGAGAGGGGGCGAGGAGGGGCAGCTCACCTCATCCTTGGCCTGGAATAAATACTCTTTTCCATCCTGTAAGCTGTTGGGAGAGAAGCCACAGGGCAGAGCTGAGTGCAGTGCTGGTGAGGGTTCAGCTACGGCCCGCAGCCAGGCCGGGAGCCCTCAGAGCCAGATCAGACACGCTTCGCACATTCCTCAGATTCCCAGGAAGCAACTGTGCAGAAGCGAGTCCTTTCCGATTGGCTGCAGACGGCCTGGGTGAGCTCACTTCATCCCAGGCCTCGCCGCCTGCTTGGCCACTTGCCGGCAGGCAGGGGCAGGCCGGGGTGGGAGGCAGGGGCGTGCCAGGACCCTGCCCTGGAGGACTTCTCAGCCTCAATCCTACTTCCCCTGCCCCCCTCACTGTAGGACGCAGGCAGAGCTGCTGCCCGCCCCGCCCCATGGCCCCGCCCCGTGCCCGGCTGGTGTCGGCACCCCTGGCTGGGCCGAGCCCACGGTCCACCTGGCGTCCCTCCCGACTTCCCCGTCCATCCCCGGAACGCCAGCCCCTGCCCTACCCCAGCTTGAAGACATGCTTGCGCTTCCGGTAGTCAAAGGCCACGCTGCCCTGGGCCCTGGCCAGGCTGACGGGCACTTCCCCATGGTACGGCACTCCCGCACCGGCCGCCTTCGCGTCCTTGTAGAAGCCCAGGCTCCCGCGCCGCAGGACACAGTACACGTTCTGCCAGGACCTGGGAGGCACACGGCGAACCCCGCGAGGACTCGGTGCGGCCCGTCCCCTGGGGCTCCCTTGGGCATCCTCGAGTTTCTGGCTCCACCCGCCGTCTCCAGGCCCCGTCCGGTCCTCAGCCCTGCCTCTCCCCCAGAGGACACCCCGAGAGGCCCCGCGTGGTACCTGTTGGCCGCCTTCTTGCCGAAGGCCTCCATCTCCTGCTTGCGACATAGCATGCCTTCCATCTGCTCCTGGGCCGAGAGCTCCGGGCCACGAGCCGGCAGGGTGGCCGCCTGCGCGGCCTCCGACGACCTGCTCTGGGGCAGTGTGGGCGCGGCCGGGCCGCGGGGCCGGGCCTGCTGCTCTCCCTGCAGCCCGTTGACTTCATCCCCCGCGCCAGCCCCCTGGGAGGGAAAAGCTGCGTGAGCCTCGGAGGACGCCGCGGGAGGTGCCTGGCCCCGCGCGACCGCCTAGAGCCATTCCCCCCTCGGCCTCTGCCCGCTCCCCTCCCAGGCCTCGCACGGCCCCCTCTGTCGCTGCATCTCCCCGTCGGCAACACCCGCACCTCCAGGGACACTCACAGGGCCTACCGGGAAGCTGCCCGGCTCCAGTCTCTGCTGTGCCAACAGGGGCTGCGAGGACAAGGGGCCGTGAGCAGTGTGCCTGGGGCCGGGGCGCCAACGGGGCACACGGAGGCCGCGGGGGCTACCTGTGAGGCTTCGGCGTCCGTGCAGACCCCGTTCACGCTGGGCGCCTGTGTGGGTGCTGGCGGCTGCGGCTGAGCTCTGGAAAGGCCGAAGGTGACACCTGACCGTCAGTCTCCGGTTTGCGCGGGCTCAGCCGCCGCCTCCTCTCCCGGGAGTCCCAGCTCTCACCGGTCCCAGGCAGCGTCGGCAGGCGTCTGGCCGTCCCCCAGGCTCTCGGTGGGCAGACCTGTCGGGTGCTCGGCGGCAGGGGGCCGCTTCCGCCGTTCCTCCTCCTCCTGCTTCCTCTTCTTCTCTCGCTCCTCCAGCTGTCAAGGAACGCCTGACTTCAGAGACGTGTCTCGGCCCGGGCCAGCGCCACGGGGCAGTGGAGAAGAGGGAAGCAGGCGGGGCGTTTTAGTGTGGCCCAGGGAGACGGGTGGCTCCTAACGGGGCGCCCTCGGCTCACGGCTGGGGGGGGGGGGCGCTGCAGCAGGGCGAGAAGGGAGCACAGGCCTGAGCCCGGGGGCCCAGCCCTCACCGCCGTGAGCTTCTCCAGTGCGCTGAAGCGCTCCTCCCAGGCCACCGCCGACTTCTGGAAGGCTTCGTGCCGCTTGATGAGGCTCTCGACCTCGTCGACCGTACAGCCCAGCTCCGCGCTCCGCACCAGGGGCTCCTGGCTGCACAGCCAGGCCTCTGCCATCCCCGCGTCTCTCCCAAACATGAGCACCTCCAGAACTGCCGGGATCGGGGTCACGGGGAGACGGCAGGTCAGCGTGGGGCTGGGAGCCGCGGCAGCCTCCGGAACGGGGCACAGAGAGAGCCACCGCCCCCGAGAGGCGCCAGGGGGTGTCGCCGGAGAGCACCGAGCAGGCCAGGGGGTGCCCCCCGAGAGCCCAGGGCTCCTGGTCTCACTTCCTGCGGAAGCCACAGGACGCGAGACCCCCAGCGTTTCGGGACCTGTGTCCCGAGCAGCTCACCGAGCTGAAGCCAGTCCATCTTCTCCTGCCACTTGTCAGCCGTCTCCTGGCGCCGGGCCTGCAGCTGGGACAGCTTCTCCGAGATCTGAGGGGCAGAGAGGCAGGTTGGCACCCAGTGGGGCCCGTCCGGGGTCCCCGGGGGTTCCTCTGAGGGCCCAGTGGTTTCTGGTAGCACGGCAGTTCTGGGGGTAGGATGGGACGGGGGAATCCCTGAACAGTGCTGGGGACGTGGAGTGAAAGGTCTGCAAAGCAAAGAACAAGACGAAGCAGCCGGCACGGAGCCCCCTGCTCCGCTCAGCTCGCCAGGCCTCACCCACCTCCTCCGCCGCGTAGTGGCTCCTGGCCAGCAGCTCCTGCCCCATGTCGATACAGGACGAGAAGCGGTCGGCTCTGGCCTCTATCTCCGCCTTGATGCCTTGCTGGTTCTTGATAACCAGATCCGCGGAGGACACGTCCCTGGGGGTGGGAGGTGGGTACAGACTCAGTACTGCCCACCGCTCCCAGCCCCGTCCCAGCCACCAGCCCACACAGCACGCGGGCGCAGTGGGGGGCCTCACCGGGGCCGCTCCTGGGCGTCCATCTGCAGGTTAACCCCATCCATCCAGAGCATCAACTCCCGCACGGCCTTGAAGAAGCGGAACTTGTCGGTAGTGTCCAGCAGCAGCTGGCGGCGGGCGGCCGAGCTCCCCTGGAGCTGCGCCCAGGCCTCGGCCACCGCCTGCATGTGCCGGCCGATCTCCTCGGCTTTGTCTCCGGCGTAGGCTTTCTGCAGCCGGAGCCCGTCATCCTGCACCTGCTGGACCTGCGGGGGCCGGGGTTGGGGTCAGCAGACAGGAGGCCCTGTCCACTGCTCCCGCCCGCTTCACCAGCCGGGGCAGGAGGAGGAAGGGGTGCGGGGCAGGCTCCTCTGCCCTGTGTGTTTCATCAGGGGTCCTGGGCGTAGCCTAGGGGAGTGGGCTTTCAAAGGGCCACCAGCCAGAGGCAAACGACACATGCAGCCCCACAGAGGGCATCCAGGGCCAGAGGACCAGGTTTCGCTGGCTGAAGCAGCAGCTACGCTCCTTCTGTGTGGGTCCAGAGCTCAGCCCAGGTGGCACCGACAAGCAGAGTTCAGGGGAGCACGCTCTGGCCATCGGGACCACCCGAAGATGTCGGGGCCCTCCAGGCGGCTCACCACGAGAGGAGAGACCGGGGTGTGCAGGTTCCCTGCTGACTCCCTCCCCAGTCCTGGGCTCAGCCCCCCCCCCGAGACCCCTCCCACCACCACCGCCCCCCGTGGGGCCGCACCTGGGCGCTGAGGGCCTGGATGTCGTGCTCGTAGGCGCAGTGCCGGCGCTGCAGGGCTTCGGCCGCGTTGAGGTCGCGGCCGGTGCCGTCGGGCAGCTGCTGCTGCTTGTGCTGCACCCGCGCCAGGGCCTGGCGAGCCCCGTGCAGGAAGCGCTGCAGCTCGTAGGCAGCGGCCAGCACCTGACCGCGCGTGTCCAGCAGCTCCAGCAGGTCGGCCCAGGCCTCGTTCAGGCTGTCCTTCCACTCTGCCACGGTGGCCCGCGCCGCGTGGCCCCCGGCAATGAGCCCGTTGGCCAGCGTGTTGGCGCTGTCCACGCGCTCCTGGCCAATGGTGCTCGTGTCGCGGGAGAACTCACGGAATTTGTCCCGGAGCATCTGGTGGGAGAGGCGGTTGCAAGGATAAAGGTGGGACCCCCGCTGGGCGTGGCACCTGTCCGAGGGAGGGAGCGCCCTCCCACTGAAACCGGAACCCCCTTCCGTCCCCAGGGCCAGGGCCGTATAGGCCAGAATGGGCTTTGTCACCAGGGCTGAGTTAGTAGTGACAGATACCACGGGGACACACCCCGAGAGATGCAGCAGGCCATTTGTCAGCGCGAATGATTTAGAGCTTGGGCACTCGGGGACGTAACCTGAGACGGCCATCACACCCTGACGCGTCACTGTGCGGCACGTGCCCCATTGGTGCCGGCACCTCTAGCCCTCAGACAGGACGCCCTCATCCTGGCCTGCATTTCTGCCATACTGAACACAGGCCCAAACCCCCAAGCTGGGGACGGGAGTCGGGCTCAGCCTTCATTGAGCCCTGCTGAGGAAGGCACGGGTGAGCCCCTCCAGCCCCCGCCTGCCCTCAGCCTGGCCTGTGCCCCGCCCCGCACTCACGGTCACGTGCTCGTAGTCCTGGCCCAGCTCGTGGGAGGCCGCCACCACCTCCCGCTCCTGGATCCACTGCTCCAGGTCGTCCAGCTCGCGGCGCAGCTGGCACAGCCGCAGGTGCTCCTGCAGGCGCTGCCGCCGCTCGCCCGCCAGCTCCTTCAGGCTGGCGTACAGCTTGTCCACCTGGGCTTGGCGGATCGACAGCCGCGTGCTGCAGGGGAGCGGGGCGGGGGGGGCACCACGGGACTTAGGGGACATAGCTCTGACCCCAGCCTGTCCCTTTGGGCCTCCCCAACTGTTTGCCAAGTCCCCGCTTCTCCAGCTTTCCAGACTGTATGCAAATAGTATGGGAGGTTGCACAACCACCGATCCTGTCCCACAGACACGGCGCCCTCTTTTGTCTGTGATTTTTAAAAATTTGAGAGGTGGAGAGAGAGAGAAAGCTCCCATCCGCTGGTTCACTTCCCCAGGGCCTGTAACGGCTAAGACTGGGGCCAGTAACTTCCTGGAGGGTGTTAAGGAACCCAACCATTGGAGCCGCCACCGTCGGCTCTATAGGGCGCAGGCACTCCCACGGGGGCCGGGGCCCCGCGCGGCCCGCGTGCTCACCTCTCGGGGTGGTCCTGGTTGATCATGTCTTGGCTGCTGGCTGCCAGCTGGTGGATGGTCTGGGCGTAGTCGGCCAGGGCTTGCTCCAGCACCTGATGCTTCTTGACCTCCGCTTGGGCGCTCGGCTCATCCTGGGGGCAGGGGCGGTGGGCGTCAGGGTTGGGGGGGGCGGAGCTAGGAAGAGCCAGCCATGCAGCCCCCGCGTGTGCCCAGCTCTCACCTTGGCTTTCTCCTGGCCCATCATGTGCAGCTCCTGCTCGCCCATCCAGGCCTCGGCCTCGGCGGCATCCCGGTAGAACTGCTGAGCCCGCAGGGCCTCCTCCAGCCGCTTTCTGCGTAGCTCCAGCTCGCGGCTCAGGCGCGTCCACATTTCCTGCAGCTCAGCCAGCTCAGGGCCGGCCGCCGCGGTGCCCAGAGCTCGCTGCCGCTCCGTCAGGTCTGCAATCCGCGGCTCGTGGCCCTGGATCTCCTTCTGCAGGGTCTGTCCCGGCCCCAGGAGAGGACAGCGCTATGAGGCTCGCTGGGCCCTGCGCCCCTCTGGATCGACTCGACTCGGGGGCCCTGCCTTCGCGCTCTTGCCCAGGGGAGCCACGGGGTGCCCCGGCCACCCACACGCTCTCCTGGAGAGACAGCTCGCCCAGCACCGAGGGGCCTGAGGCGCCCAGGTCTTCTAGACAAACTCCCGGGGCTGGGGAGGCCCTTGGGGGGGGCTTTTCTTCGCCTCACCTGGTTTTTCTTCATAAGGAGCTGGACGCTGGGCAGGTCTTTGCCGTGTTCCATGGAGCTCGCCATCGGGAGCCGCTCTGTCACCCACAACTGGGTGAGAAAGAGGGGGTCAGGGGAGGTGCAGAGGGCAGAGTCGGCAGCAGGGGCCGGACAGCGGGGACGCCTGGGGCTACAGGCGTGGACAGGAGCAGCCCCTGGTCTCCCTAGGGAGAGATTTTCAAAGCGAAAGGGAAGCGGGAACAGAGCACCCCAGGCAGGGGGCTGCAGGGGCAGCTTGGCCCGGGGGGAGCCTGGATCCCGCCCCCCGCCCCCCGGGACTCACGATCTCGTCCTCCACGTCGCGGTGGAACTGGTGCTGCTCGCGAGAGGCCTGCAGGCGCCGGCAGCGTTCCCTCATGGGCTGGCACAGGGCCTTGAACTTCTCCTCCACGGCCCGGGAGGTCCTCTCCACTTCCCCTGCGCCCTGGTCTTCCTGGGCGAGCGCTTTGGCCTGGGCCTGGATGGCCTCCACCTCTTTCTCCCGCACGGCCATCTCCCGCTCCAGCATCTGCAAGCCCCCAGAAGGGCGCGTGTCAGCCATCGGACCCGAGTCACCCTGGGGCTAGAGCCAACCCGGCATGGTTCTGATCCAGGGCTCATGCAGGGACAGCGCCCCCTCGTGCCCTGTGTCAGTGCATCTCGGACCTGAACACACAAAAGCAACACACACAGAGAGTGCGGCGACCGTGCCGGTCTTCAATGCACCGGGTCTCAGTCTTGACTCCACCGCGGCTCCAGGGCCATCGCAACCCTGTAAGCGTTTCTCCCCGGCTACGGCGGCCATGCGAGGCCACCTCGGCCGAGGGCCCGGCAACACATAGCAGAGGACCCCGGGGTCCTGGCGGGCTTTCTTCCCGCTCCCATAGCACAGCTGCCCATTGGCTCTCGTCCCCTGGCAACTTCTTCCTGGCCGGCCTTGGCCTTGGCTTGCCAGCGGCAGACTTGCTTTGGCCCATGATGAAGCCAGCAGGTTTCTGGACTATCCAGGGGGCCTCGGCCCTCAACCCGAGGTCAGACACTCAGCCATCTCGTTCCTTCCTCGGACCCTGGAGGCCGCGGCTGCTCCCTGCATCTGCTGGTCTATAGGGCAGGGAGCAGCAAGTGCAGCCCCTGCCTGCTTTCGTAAAGGAGCGGTTACTGGGACACAGCCCCAGCCCCGCATGAACGTACTGTCCACGGCTGCTTTCACCTGCAGGGACTGGGGGAGACGCACGACCACAAAGCCCCAGACACGGCCGGTCGGGCCTCCCGAGAGGCTCCCCGGGCCCCCCTGTAGACTTCGCTTTGCAGCTGCTATGGCTCGGATGCGGAAATGTGGCCCTGTGGGTAGCAGTGCTGAGAGGTGGGGGGGCCTTCGGGGGTGGGTAGGTTGCTCGGAGGGACTGCTGCGGATCTCACAGCACCGCATCAGGTCCTGCAAGAGGGGGCGCGCCAAAGCGAGGCTGGACCTCGTGTCCACACACCTGCCTCCTTTCCGTTCTCCCGCCATTTAGGCGCATCATGGGGTCATCATCAGAAGCCCAGACGGTGCCGGCCCCACAGTCTGGGACCTCCTGGCCCCCAGCGTTACAAAATACCGGCCATTCCGTCAATGGCCCCGTCTCACATATTCTGTTACAGCAACAGAAAACAACTGGGACGAGACCTTCCGTGAAAACTTGGCCACCCTCACTACTCAGTGCTTCTTTCTACTAAAGATTCTCTGTTCGGACTGCTGGTGTGGTCTCCGTCTCCCGGCTTCCCCCTGACGGCTGCACACGCCTCTGATCCTGGGCACCCAGAGAAACCACTTTGGGACACACTGGCACGGATGGCGCCTGCCAGGCCTCGGCGTGGCCCCCCTCCATCTGTCTCCCTGCCGCTGTCCGCCGTCCCCGGCCAGGCCCACAGCGCACCTGCTGCTTCTTGAGCAGGATGTTGACGCTGGTGAGGTCCTTGCCGTAGTCGTCCGAGTGCAGCTGGGCCTGCAGGCTCTCCAGCCAGCTCTCCAGGGCGGAACAGCTTTGGGCAAACAACTCAGCTCGGTTGGCATCAAAGAGGCTGCGGGCCTTGGCCTGGGTGGTGGTCTCCAGCTCGTCCCAGCGCCTGTGCAGGTCGGCCAGCTTCTCCGACACCAGGGCCTTCAGCTCCGGTTTCTCCAGGGTCAGCTCCCGCCCTTCCTGCGGGTCAGGAAAAGCGCAAGGAAGGTGTTAAGGGCCGGAATGAGACGTCGCTGAGCGTGAGGGGCCCACAGCAGACCGGGGTGCTGAAGGGCCAGGAATCCAGGTTTGCTCGTGTGAGCAAACGAACACACTCTCCTCAGAAGTGTTAAGACCCTCCTAGGCGGCCCTCCCCCAGTCCTGGCGCAGATCCTCTCCTCCCAAGGTCCAGCTCAAAACTCCTTTCAAGTAAGAAGCCCTTGCAGGAGCCAGCGTCACAGCACTGCGGGTTAAGCCCCCGCTTACGATGCTGGCATCCCATATGGGAGCAGTTTGAGTCCCAGGTGCTCCGCTTCCCATCCACCTCCCCGCTGCCGCGCCTGGGAGAGCAGTGCTTGGGCCCCTGCACCCATGTGGGAGACCCCGACGCAGCTCCTGGCTCCTGGCTCTGGCCGGACCCAGACCTGGCTGTTGTGGCCATTCAAGGAGTGAACCAGGAGATGGACGATCTCTCTCGCTCCCTCTCTCTCTCCTCCTCTCTTTTTTCTGTTATTCTGTCTTTCAAATAAATCTTAAAAAAGAAAAAAAGCCATTGCAGGGTACTGGCATGGTGCTAAGACGCTGGCGGAGACTCCCGCATCCCACACCAGAGCGCCTGGGCTCCATTTCTGGCTCCAGATTCCCGATCTAACTCCCGCTAGTGCACAGTGGGAGGCAGCAGCGCTGGCTCAAGTCATCGGGTTCCTGCCTCCCACGCATGAGACCTGGCTTAGGTTTCCAGTTCCCGGCTTCCGCCCAGTTTGGCCTTGGCCTTTGCAGCCTTCCCCCGTGTCCTGTGCTCGTGGTTCCCGGCGTGAGGCTGCGTGTGGCTCCTGCGATGGTTCATGTTTGCCAGCTCCTTATACCATGACCCACACCAGCTGAGCCCCACCGCATCTCCACGCCTCCGGCCTGCCTGCTTGAGGGCTCCTGGCTCCAGACGGGAGAGAAGCATGTTCTCTCTCCGCCTCTCTGAAAGATTTATTTATTTATTTGAAAGGCAGAGTGACAGAGAGAGACGGGAGAAGAGGAGGCAAGCGGGCAAGCGCTTCCATACCCTGGTTCACTCCCAGGTCTTGGACAGGCCGAAGCCAGGAGCCAGAACGCCATCTGGGTCTCTCACATGGGTGGCAGGGGCCCAAGCACTTGGGTCTTGGCTGGCTGCCCTCGCGTGCACATTAACAGGAAGCCGGGTTAGAAGCGGAGTGGCCGGGCCTCAGTCGGCACTCCGGTCCCGAGCGTGCTCTCTTGAACCACGTGGAAGGTGAGCTGGAAGTGCCGAGGGAGCTGACATCCCGGAAAGCAGACAGCGCGCGGTCAGAGAGACAGCGCAGCGTCCTGGTGCTCTGGCCGTGTGCTCCACGCTGCGTCCGGGGGCCCCAGCAGGACCGGGCAGCTCGCACGACCACGTGCCCTTCATCTCCCCGCTCCTGGCCTTGCCCCCTCCTCCCACCCCACGGCCTGCGCGGGAATCCTCGTCCCAGCGGAACACAAACCCAGACGCTGCCTGTGGGCCATTTCTCGCGTGGCCGAGAGCCCGGATGAGAGCGCCAAGGCCCAGCCTGCGCAGCTTCGCGACCCTCGGTGCAACCACGCCCACAGCACGTTCCAGCGCCGAGAGCAGGCGAGCGGGGCTCTTCCCGCCTGGCCTGGCACCCACTGCCGGGGGCCCTTCGCCGTCTGTGCGCCTCCAGACGGGCTTTACCCGCTGGCTCCTGTACAGCCTCCCTGCTTCCTCACGGCTGTCTGCAAGGAAGCACATCCTTCCCCCAACATCTCTGCTTGTCCAGGCTCGACTCGGCCCCCACGGGTGGCCCTGGTTGCTCCTGCTTCAAGGTCTCCCACCTCTCCCTCTCTCTCCCCTTAGCCCCAGGAGCACTCAGATTCTGCTGTGGATTTAACGGAGTCATCTGTCTACACTGCGGCCTCACCTCCTGGCCACAGTGCTGTTCCCTGAAGGTGGAACCTGCAATGAACCACCTCCGTGCCCAACTCGGGGCCCAGCAGGCTTTCCGTGCAGTCGCCCCAAGGAAACATTGGCTACACGAAAGGGAACACTGAGCCTGCGCCGGTCTCCTCCTCTGCCCGGCCACCGCGCCCTCGGAGGGGGCAGTGTGTCCCCAGCAGAATGCTGTGGCCATCTGGTCAGGAGGAGCTGCGTGGGAGACCAAGTCCCAGGAATGGTCAGGCTCGAGAGCAAGAGCTGCCCGCCCGCCCCTGGCCCGTGGGCCAGATCTGGCCTGCTTTGTGTCTTTATAAATAAAGTTTTACTGGAACACAGCCACATTCATTGGTTTATGGAGTGTCCGTGGCCGATTCTGCACTGCACTGACGGAAACCAGGTGGTCCACAGAGCCTGGAGGGGCCCACCTGAGTCCCTCCAGGGACAGTCCGCAGACCCTGCTGATGCGAGCCACCGTGCTCTGGACCCAGGACGTCACCAGACGGGACCAAGGCCATGGTTTTTCTCCCCACTAATTTGTTCTTTCTCAAAGCAGTCCCACAGCTCCCTGGGCCACGACTCTCCACACTGGAAGTGTGCGGCCCCAGGACCCTGGAGCTCTGTCCTGGGCCAGGTCCCTGCCCAGGGGCAGCCCCAAGAGCTCGCTTCCCGCTGCTCACCTTGTCCACCTTGTCCAGCCAATCCTTGTTGGCGGCCAGCTCGGCCATGAACGCCTGGTGCTTCTGCCACTTGGTGTGCAGGTTGCGGGCTTCGTCGTAGGACACGTCCTGGGCCGTCAGCATCTTCTCGTCGATCCAGAGCTTCAGCTGCGGCCGGGGGAGGTGGAGGCAAGGGGAGAGCTTGGGTGAGGGGGCGGGGCCGCGCGCTCGCAGGGCCGCCCACTCACTGGGGCGGGGCGGGGCCTCACCTCGTGGCAGTCCTGCAGGAAGCGCTGCTGCTCTCGGTTGTCCCGCAGGCGGCTCAAGAGCTGCTGCGCTGCTTCTTGGTTCTTCCTGTGTCTGCAGCGGGAGCCCCCGGCCGTGAGAGCCTGCCCGGTGTCTGCAGCCGGCGCTTTGGCCCCCGCCACCCCGCGCTGTGGGGTGAAGCCCCCGGCGGAACAGGACAACCCCGAACACAGACTTCCGTCCCTACTACCCTAGGACGGCGGGCTGCCCTCGTGTCAGGGAGGGGGCGCCCGCCCGCCCGGGGGCTTAGGCCCTCTCCAGCCCCGGCTCCCCCCCCCCGCCCACTTTGGGCCGGTCACTGCCCCCCTCCCGCGTGTTCTCTCCGTCTCCCCAGCACCCTCATCGCACCTCTTCTCGATGGAGTCTGCCTTCTCCCGGATCTTCTCCGCATGGATGTTGCCCTCGGACACCAGCTGGCGCCCGGCCTCCAGGAGCCCGCGGATCCGCTCCCCGCTGGCGTCCATGGTGCTCATGAAGTCTTCCAGCTTTTTGATGGCGGCGTCGGCGGCCTGCAGCGTGCCCGGCATCTCCGCGTGCGACAAAACGTATTCCTGCGTGGGAGAGGCGGCGTGGAGCCCAGCTCTCAGAGGACCACTGAGCCACATCCCGAGGCGGGGCCAGCCCCAAGTGGGGGTCCTGGGGCGGGTGGGGAGGGGGGCAGTCCCCAGGGAGCTGAGCTGGAGGTCCAAACCCTGTTCCACGTATCTCCGCCCAGCAACTCAGCTTCCTGCCCATAGGAGGTGCTGCTTAAGGACAGGACGCGATCTGACAACCGCGCCATTCGCCATTCGGCGATGCCGTCCTCGCCAGAACAAGAGTGCTCTGATGCGCGCCCGGGTGGCTGTACCGGTGAGCCCGCTGCTCCCCGGCTACAAACCCGTGCCCTACGGGCGCAGATACCCACAGGGCTGGGAACGTGCAAATCTGAACACAGGAGAGGGGCAGCGAAACCGCTGGGCGGCAGGCACTTCCAGCTCTGGGGCCAGCACCACACACGCCCTCCCTCTGCCCGTCACGTGACTGGTCTAGGGCCAGCCAGGAGCTCTGTTTCTTCCAAAGTCAATTCTGGGTCGTTACATTTCTTTCTTTCTTTTCCTTCCTTCCTTCCTTCCTTCCTTTCTTCCTTCCTTCCTTCCTCTCTCTCTCTCTCTCTCTCTCTCTCTTTCTTTCTTTTGTCTTTTTTTTTCTTTGGGTCGTTACATTTCATCTTTTTTTTCTTTTTTGGAAATCGTCCCCACACCTTCCCAACGTGTTCTTCCGGCTCAGCCTGTCTGACTGCTGTGCCCCCTGGCGCTGACCCCCCTCCTCCCTGCCTGGCGCCCTGGCTCCTCCTCCACCCCCCCCACGTGCCCTCACCTGGCTGCTGACCTCCCCCCCCCCCCCCGCCTGGCGCCCTGGCTCCCCCCCGCCCCCCCACGTGCCCTCACCTGGCTGCTGAGCACACCCTCCGCCTGGCGAGCATCCCGCAGGAACCCCTGGAAGCCGTGGGCCTGGGCCAGGCGGCCTTGCCGGCTCTCCCACATGCGGCCCAGCTCCTCCCAGCCGGTTCCTAGGGCTTCCAGCCGCTGTCGCAGGAAGAGGCACTGGGGGTCGGCCTGGTCTCGGGTCACCTCCTCGCCCAGGGTCCGCAGCCGGCTGTACTCGCCCCGGGCCCGCTCCACCTCTCCCCGCAGCGCTGCGTGTTGGGCCAGGAGCGCCTCGGCCTCGGGCAGGGTGGCCGGCCCTTCTTCGGAGGCCACGGCGGTCTGCGTGCGGCCGAGCCAGGCCTGGAAGTCATCCAAGCTGCGCAGGAAGTCCTGCAGCCGCCGCGCCTCACCCAGCGACTCCTCGCGACGCCGCATGGTGGCCCTGAGGTCCTCCCAGCCCGTCTGCACCTCTGCGAGGCGGGCGTTGATGGCGGAGGCTTGGGCTGGATGGCCGGCGGCCAGGGCGTTCGCCTCTCTGGTCAGTTCTCCGACGCGGGCAGCGATGGCCTCCAGGTCCCGCTCGGTGCCCGCCAGCTTCCGCTGCAGGGCCAGCACCCCAGCCAGGTCGTTGCCCAGCCCCTGGGTGGACTCGATGACCTTGGTCTTTTCTCTCATCCAGGCCCGGGTCTCGGTGCACTCCAGGTGGTAGTTTTGGATGCTCAGGGCCGACGTGAGCGCCGCCTTCTTGCCGTCTGCCAGGGCCCGAAACTGCTGCCACCTGAGGGTGGGCGGGGGCCGCTGTGGGCAGCTGCCTGGCCTCCCTGCCCGGCCCGGCTGTGTCGGGAAGCCCCCTCGTGCCTCTGTCTCGCGTGGGCTTTCCTGTGCGCCTGCCTCTGCCTTGGTAGGGAGGCGGCTCCCCGTGGCCCTCCCAGCCCGGGCAGTGTCCAGCCTCCGCCTTCATTGCCTCTCCTCCTCCATGGTGAGGACGGGGTTCCTGCCTCCCCCTCAGCCACCCTCCCGGGCCGGCAAACCCCTCCCAGCGGCCACCCCAGCTGCGGCTGTCCCGCGCAGGCCACCGCGCCCACCTGCGGTTGAGCTGCTCCTGGGTGCTGACGATGCGGTCCTTGCCCGGCGGGTTGGCGGCCAGCAGCTGCCCCGCAATGTCATTCACCGCGGTGATGCGCGCCGCCAGGGCGTTCATCTCCGGCTCCAGGGTCTCGAACCTGAGGACGTGGCAGAGCTGGGCGTGAACGGGCAGGGGCAATGACACACGGAGGCCACCTCCCTTGCACGTCCCCAAGGACACCTCTCCTTCAGTACAGGGCTCACGAAGGTGAGTCAGCGCCGCTCAGTCCACAGCGGGTGGCCAGGAAGGAGCCCCCCACTCCCCGTCCCCGGTTCCCGCAACCCAAGCACAAGCAGAGGACCTCTCTGGCATGGTTTAAGAAGACGCGGAGGCTTAAAGTCCAGCCAAACCCTGGCCAGAACCGCCAGCCTCCCAGGAGTCACCGTGGGCCACCTGCCTGGGTCCCCTCCTAAGACGTGTTCTGGAATGAAGCGGTAACCACAGTATCTGTCTGAGCGTGAGAACCCCGTGAAGCGGAACTGCCCCGGGGGGCATGTTCCAGTCTGACTGGGCGGGGTCTGCACACGTCTTCTGTAACGGGCGGACGGTAAATACCTGGGGCTTTGTGAACCAGTCTCTGGGGCAACCAGCCAACCCATTCATGTCCATGAATGCGTGTGGCTATTCCATTAAGCTTTATTTACAAACACAAGCAACCTGGCTGCAGCTTGTCAACCCCTGTGTAATGGGATGCCTTTTCAAACGGCCAGGACATATGATTACGGATCAATTTGTGGGCGATACACTGAATTTTGTCCTGTGTGATAATGGTAGGGTGGTTCTACAAGGAAAATGCCCTCTCCAGGGAATTTTAAGATTTGTTACTCTGTATCCAAGGAGACATTAACCAGTGCCTCTGTCTAAGAGATGTGTAACTTCCAAGTCCTCACAATGAGGAACACGTGGCGGCCGACGCCCCGCCCTCACTGAGGGGGCGTGGCCTGGAGGCGAGGGGAGTGGAAGTGCAGGTGCAGGAACTGCTGCGGAAAGGGGAGACGGACCACGGGGAGCTCCGCACGGCCGTGGTGGGACCTGGGCGACGGGGGCGGGGGCTCGCTGCGGGATGTTCTCGTCGCTTTTGAATCCAGGGCTCCCAGAGACCAAGCTCCGAGGCCCACATCCTTTACAGAGAGTGGGGTAGCGTTTACACACGGGACGCCCCTGTGTGCGTGCGAGTGACCAGCGCCTCTGCACACCTCCCCTTCCTCTGCCTCACCTCTAAGCCCTGCCACAATGTGTCATTGCTCGACTGCACCGCTTAGGGACAACACACACACACACACACACACACCAGGCCCTACCTCTGCTGCACCACCTCCAGGTCCTCCAGGCGCTCAGGCAGGGCCAGCCCGTTGAGCCACTGCTCCTTCTCCTCCACCCAGAGCCCGCAGGCCCCGGCCTCGCTGAGCATGGTGTAGAGCGCCAGGGCTGCTTCCAGGGCGCGCGCGCGCTCGCCTGCCCGGGCCTGCAGCTCCTGGTAGTGCTGCTCCAGGGCGGGCACCCTGCCCTGCACCTCGGGCGTGCGGCTCAGCGCGGCAGGCAGGGCCGCCGCCTGCTCCTTCAGTGCATCCAGCGTGGGCCGGTGGCCTCGGATCTCCTCTTCCAGGGCCCGGTGCTGCCTGGCCAGGGCTTGGGTGGAGAACTCATCGTGCCCCACCTCGGGGCTGGACACCAGGCGCAGAGCATCCACCAGCCAGGCCTCCATGTCGTTTGCGTCTGCCTGGAACTGGTAGAGGCCGGCGGCCTGCGAGAGCCGCTGGGCGCGCTCCTCAGCCAGGGCCTCCAGCCGCTCCCACTGGGCCTGGAGCTCGGCCGCGCGGGCTGCAGCCTGACCGGCTCCGGGGTGGCCCTCGGCCACCAGCTGCTGGCCCTGCTCCAGGGTGAGTTTCAGGGGCCCCAGGCGGCCGCTCATCTCGCCCCGCAGGGCCGCGTGCTTGTTGAGCAGGCGGAGGACGCCGGTCAGGTCGCGGCCCGTCTCGGCGGAGGCCAGGAGGTGCTGCTGCTCCCGCACCCAGGCCTCGGCCTCGCCCACCTCCCAGAGGAACCGCCAGAGGCGCCGCGACTCCTGCAGGCGGGCCCGCCGGGCGGCCGCCAGCTCGCACAGCGCCTCGTAGCTCTGTTCCAGGGTCGCCACTCGCTCCTGCACCAGCTGCGGGTCACAGGGTCTGTACTCTGGAACGGACACAGCAGAGGACGGCGCTGCAGCCCCGCCACCCTCATCGCGCCCACCACCGCATTTCTCGCCCCCCCCACCCCGGTCTCCCTCGGCCGGCGCCTGCCCTGGGCTCTCACCCTTCCCCGGGGTGCAGAAGCGCAGCGCGGAGGCGCTGACGGCGCGCACCCTCTCGGCCTGCACGGCGATGTCCGCCTCCACCAGCTCGTGCAGCTGCAGCAGGTCCTCCACTCCCGCCAGGTGCTTGCCCAGGTCTTGGGACTGCAGCCGGCCCTGCCAGGCACACACGCGAGCTGAGGCCCACCTGAGACGCCGGCCACGCAGGCTACCCTCTTGGGGTCGCCCCAGGGGAGCACGCCTGGTCACTCACACACGCACACAGGGACACCCCGGTCCTCTCGGGCACCTGGCCTCCTTAACTGCCCCTCCCTTCCAGGGGAACAACTTCCCACATGGAAGTCTTATGCACACAGCTGCCAAAGAGACTGTTTAAAAAACAACATGAGGGGGTGGACCGGCCCTGTGGCATAGCAGGGTGAAGCCAACACCTGCAGTGCCAGCATCCCATATGGGCGCCGGTTCAAGTCCCGGTTGCTCCATTTCTGATTCTGCTCTCTTCTATGGCCTGGGAAAGCAGCAGAAGATGGCCCAAGTGCTTGGGCCCCTGCACCCACGTGGGGAGACTCAGAAGGAGCTCCTGGCTCCTGGCTTCAGATCGGCACAGCATCAGCTGTTGTGGCCATGTGGGGAGTGAACCAACAAATGGAAGACCTCTCTCTCTCTCTCTCCAACTCTGCCTCTCTGTAACTCTTTTAAATAAATCTTAAAAAAAAAAAAAAAACTTAACATGGGGTGGGCATTTAGCCTGGTGGTTAAGACACCTGTTGGGACATCCAAGCACCTGGGTTCAATACCCAGCTCTGGGTCCCAACTCCAACTTCCTCCTGACGCACACCCTGGGAGGCAATGATGACGGCTTAAGTTTAGTCTGCGCCACCGCCATGGGAGACCTGGATTGAGGTCCCGGCTCCTGGCTTTGGCCTGGCCCAGCAGGCTTTGGGGTGCGAACCTGAGACTAGGTGGGTGCTCTCTTTGTCAACACAGATTTATGTCCCTTTCCTTTTTAAAACCTTCTAATCACTTAAAAAGATTTATTTATTCAAAAGGCAGAGTGCTGGAGGGGGGAGAGGTGAGAGAGAGAGTCTTCCATCGACTGGTTCACTGCCCTGAGTCAGGCTGAAGCCATGAACTCCATCCAGGTCTCTCACGTGGGTGGCAGGAACCTAAGTACAGGGGCCATCGTCTGCTGCTTTCCCAGCTACATTAGCAGGAAGCTGGATTGGAAGTGGAGCAGCCAGGGCTTGAACTAACGGGCACCTGGATACGGGATGCAGGTGTTGCAAGCAGTAGCTCAATCGCTGTGCCACAATGCCGGGCCCCCTTCTAGTCCTTTTGAATGCTCACTGTCACTTTGAACCAAATCCAGATTCGCTGAGCAGGCCCAAGTGAGCTGGCGGCTGCCACCCTCTTCTCCCTCATCAGACCCCCTCTCCTAGTAGTGACAACCACAGCCTGCTCCCCTAGGGCCTCTGCGTCGCCGCGCCTCCCCCTGCACGTCCCTCAGATCAGTGCTGGCCCCTGCCTTAGCCCAGTCTCAGCTCAAATGGCACGGTGTCCGCAGGTTTATGGGCACAGCTGAGGGCTTTACCACCAGCCCCCTCCTGCTAGCCCATGAGCCCCGTGTGGACAGGGACCTGCTTTCCCCGCTCATCGGCACCAAGGATCAGCTGAGCCGACGAGCGAGGCCCGTGGTCAGCGCCCGCCCAGCCCGTGCCATGCCAGCGCCACCCGGCGGGGCGAGCCCCGGCACCTTCATCTCTTCCATCCAGTCCATGAGGTAGAGCAGGTCTTGGAACACCTTCTGCAGCTCCAGGTTGAGCAGGAGCCGCTCTCGCCGGGCGGCCACCATCTCCCGCAGGAAGTCCCAGAGCCGCGCCACGTTGTGCTGCCGGGCGGCGATGCGCTTGATGTCGTGGTAGCGCTCGGCGGCCAGCTCGGCGGCCACGGCGTCCACCGCCTGCACCCGGCCGCTGTAGGCCACGATGTCCGTCTCGATGGCCTCATGCTTCCGCACCGCGGCCTCGACCGCCGCCAGCTCCAGCCCAAAGTTGTCCTGCGGTGGGGACACGGCGGCGGGGGGAGGTTGGGACTAAGGGCAGCTAGCTCTGCTCCCTCCTCCTGCACCCAGGTGCCAGCCCCAGGGGCGGTGCTGGGCCCTCGGTCCTTTCTCTGACTCACACACGTCCTGTTGGTTCATCTCCCCACCCCACCATCCATCCCGACCAACAGGGACATCCCCAGAGGCCCCGCGCCCCACCTGCGACACCAGGCGCTGGTTCTCGCTGAGCCAGGTCTCCCGCATGGCGGCCTTCCGGTCGAAGCGGGCGGCCAGCTGCTCCAGCTTCTCCTGGCGGATCAGCTCCGTGCGCAGGGCCAGCTCCCGCTCGTGTTCTGCTTTCTCCAGCCGCTCCCAGGCCTGCGTGGCAAGGACAGGACCAATCAAGGGGCCAGGGCAGGGAGGAGCCGGCAGGGCTGGGGCCGCGGGGCAGTCCCACGGACGCTCAGCCTAGTGGATCTGTGGCGTGTGGTCGACAAGACTTCTGTGCGTGGGGCTACGAGACAGAGGGGAGGTGCCTGGCGCCCTGAGACTGTCACCGACACCGTGTGCCGGGCTGGAGGGCACAGGACGGCAGAAGCTGGCTGCTCGCTCTGTGGTGGGGGCCCCGTGTGGGAACCGCACATCAATTCGGTTTATAATGTCGTTGGAGAAAAGTATAAAAGTGGGGACACCGAGTGGGGACTGTTGAACAAGACCAAAGACTTGGGGCGCAACTTGCCCTTGTGACTGTGTACATACAGCCGTCTGGTCACGGGAGCGCCGGAGGCGGGGAGGGGCGGGCTGCCCACCTTGTTGATGTCGGAGATGAGCCGGCCCTCGCGGGGCGTGTACACCTTCTGGTTGTTGGCCCGCAGCTTGCTCTGGACGGTAAACAGCAGCACCTCCAAGTTCCCCTTCTCAGTGAACCTGGGGCAGGAGGCAGGTTGGGGTCACGGCCAAGGGCACGAGGCTCGCAGAATCGGGGGCCGGGTCTCCTGGCAGAGCAGCTGCGTGCACAGAGCCGGCTCATGCTCGCGTTCCCCGCCCTCTGCATTGTTCCCTCGTTTACTCCCATTTGCTAGCTGAGAAAACCGAGGCCAGACAGTCTTAAATACATCGCTCAGTGCTCACGGCTGCAAAGCAGCGGAGCCAGGATTTAAACCCGGGCGCCTTGACCCCGGACACGCGGTGCTGCCCGCAAAGCACCATTCCACGGCCTGCTTCTTCACCTGTGCTCTCCTGACTCTTTTTACGTCAACAGACACATTTCTCCGACAGCAGCCGGAGGGACTACCTGGCCCCCCGGACTTGTTTTTCCTTTACGAACATCCCTGAGGCAATACCTTCAGACTGGTGCCCAGAGGGGGCTTTCTGGGCCACAGGACACAGCCCCCATCACTCCCTGCAATGGATAACAAGAGCTGTCTTCTGGGTTGGAATCAGTTTTGGGGGACAGTGCTGTGGCACAGTGGGTGAAGCTACTGTCTACAGTGCTGGCTCGAGTCCTGGCTGCTCCATTTCCGATCCAGCTCCCTGCTGGTGTGCCTGAGAAAGCAGTGGAGGACGGCTCAAGCGCTCGGGCCCCTTGGGAGACCCAGCAGAAGCTCCTGGCTCCTGGCTTCGGATCGGCTCAGCTCTGGCCATCAGAGCCATCTGGGGAGTGAACCAGAGGATGGAAGACCTCTCTCTCTCTCTCTCTCTCTGCCTCCACCTCTCTCTGTCACTCTTTCAAATAAATGAATCTTTAAAAAAAAAAAAAAGATATTGGCTTTGAAGCTGACGAAGATCAACTCCAGCAGAGCTCGACGCTACAGAAAACACAGACGTCTGTAGCCTGGACCGTGCAGAACTGTCAAGTAATTGCTAGAATGCAGCGGTGCTAAGCGGCTCTGCGAGGACGCTCAGGTTACCAGGCACACTCTGCCTGGGCTGCGGCCTGCCGCCGTCAGGCCCGGCTCCGCCTGTCCCCAGGCTGGGATCCGGTTGCCGCGCCGCCGTCCCGCCCAGCGATCCTATCTGACAGCTCGCACACCACGGTCCTCATTTCCACAGCCTGATTTTTTTACAGACGGCTACTCGCTTTAACCGCTTGTATTGGAATGAGAACGATTCCGTTGTTCCGATGCTTCCAGTACTTTGCACCGAGGGGGGGAGGAAATGAGGCCCCACCCCCGGCATCTCTGCGGCCAGATTCCCCTCCCACAAAGCCGCCCTAGTTTGGTTTCCCCTGGTGTGGGCACGGCCCGGGGCGGGCGTGCCCTGGCAAGGTGCACGCGGGGGCACCTACTTGGGCGGCTTCTCCACAGTGCGGTAGGAATTGAAGGACTGCAGCTGGTTCTGGACCCCGCTCAGGGAGTTGGCCAGCTGGCGGTCATTGAGGGTCACGATCATCTGCTCGATCCACTGCAGCAGTTCAGAGGCCAGGGACTCGTACTTCTCCACCAGGCGCTCGGCCTCCATGGCGTGGTCCAGCACCTGTGCGACAGGAGGCGGGCATGTGGGGGTCCTGGCCCAGTCCCCGGCGTAGGGGAGTCAGTGTCCTGGGCCAGCCTTCCTTTGGCCTTTCGGCTTACTGTCCTGTGGCGGGGGTACCTTGCCAATTCTTTTGCCTTCCACAGCCAGGGCCTTCATCTTGGAGAAGTAGTGGTAGTAGGTAGCCACGTAGGTGATGATGGATTTCTCATCAGGCTGATCCACGTTCACGTCTACGGCAAAGGACCACTCGCATCAGCCAGAGGTTCCCAGCAGGACACCTGCCCCAAGCCTGGGTGCTCCCAGCATTCCCAACATCTTTCCAGGCCCCTTCAGAGCAAAAGACAACTCAACCATTCGGACCACAAAGGTACCAGACAGCTCAGCTCCTCGCCCTGTCCTTTGAGAAACAAGAAGGACCCTCCAGGTCCAGCACACAGCCCGGAAGCCTGAGAGACTCTCACCCAGCGTTCCCGGTAGAAGCCAGGATTGGATGTTTGGGGAGAGAAGACAAGAAACAGCACTCCCATCTGGGGATGGGTCACAGACTTACAGGCTAGAAAAACGCCCAAGAGGTCAGCAGACCTGGGGCAGCGGGATGGGGAGGGACGGACCCAGTGTCCAGAACCCGGGAGGCGGGCAGAGAGGCCGGCGCTAGGCACCATCTGAGGACACGGTCACGGCCGTTTCTAACGTCAATCCTGAAGTTCAGCCGTGGGCCCCAGGAGCCGGGAGTTCTTCAAGCCAAACTGGCTCCCACCACGCGGCCGAGGCTGACTCCAGCCGGGGCTCTCTCCACTAGGCCACCTGAGGGACTTTATCCCACCCAAGGACGAGCCTACGACACCCGAAGGGTCTTGATCGCTTCGGAAAACACACAGGCAGGTGGCAGCCGCTGAGGTCATCTCGGGAAGTTACAGAACACTCAGCTCGACTCCTCACACGCTTTGTGTTCCTGGGCTCAGGGGCACAGGAGGGGGGCAGCCGGCGGGATGGAAGACAGGGAGTTTAGGGAGGAAGGATTCCGCCAGGGAGTGCCCCCGGCCCGCCTCCCCTCCCCTGTTCCAGCTGCCCCAGGATTGTTCTCCACTCTGCCCCAGAGGCAGCCGAGGGAAGAGGCTCTGGGGCCAGGCTGCCTGGGTTTCCAGTCTCGGGTCCACCAGCTGTAGGACCTTGGGCAGGCCACTAGCCCTTCAGAGGCCCCCGCCCTCTCTTCCACGAACAGGCTGTAACAATGGCACTGACTTTAAAGGGGCTGTTGTGAAGGTGAAGATAATCAAAGCATGTCAAGTGGCGCGCCAGGCACAAAGCAAGAGCCCAGTGGCTGTTACCGAGCTCGCTGGCATTATGGTCTGTCGGAACCACAGGAGCCGGCAGCAGGGGCAGCCGAGCGGAGGCCAACTCATGGAGGGCCCCGGTTACCGTGAAGACCACGCCTCCCCCATCTCAGAGCCCAGGCCACTGGGCCACAGGGAGCCCAGGCCACTGGCCCACAGAGAGCCCAGGCCAGTGGCCCACAGAGAGCCCAGGCCACTGGGCCACAGGGAGCCCAGGCCACTGGCCCACAGAGAGCCCAGGCCACTGGCCCACAGGGAGCCCAGGCCAGTGGCCCACAGAGAGCCCAGGCCACTGGCCCACAGAGAGCCCAGGCCACTGGCCCACAGAGAGCCCAGGCCAGTGGCCCACAGAGAGCCCAGGTCACTGGCCCACAGGGAGCCCAGGCCAGTGGCTCCAACTCCCAGAGCAACTCTGGGCTCTGCTGAGAGAGAACCTACAGCCCAGGGGGCTCTTCCTGCTGGGGGCTTTCTTCCTACAGCCTTTTTTTTGGGAAAAAAAAATTGAGACACAATGTTTGTATTATGAAGCTCACCTTTTACCAGTACCTAAGCCAGTGGCTTTTAGCATGTGCCCAAGGTCGTGCAACCATCACCACCATCTCATTCCAGACATCTTCATTCCCCTCTCCACCAAAGCAACCCCTCCCTCACCTGCTGGCGGCGGGGTCCCTGCTCGCCCCCTCCCGCCGCCGTCCTGCGCCTCTGCCCCCCACGGCTCGGACCCACCTTCAGGATCCAGCAGCTTGGTGAGCCCCAGCTCCTTCTCAGCCAGGTTGAAAGCGTTCTGCAGGTTGTAGTGTGCGTTGCACTTCTTCAGGGACTCAAAATCCAGCAGGTCTGGCCTGGGCAGGGAGGTTATCAAAAGCACGTGAGAGCCTTGAAGGGGAAACGTGGATCCAGCTGCTCCCACCTTTGCACCCAAGTCACTGATTCAATCTGGCCCAGAAGGGGGCACCTCAAACCCACCCCTGGCTCCCAACCACCACCCCCCGCCCCGGGGGGAGGCCTTTGTGCAGCGCGATGCCCCCGGGCCGGCTCCTCGCTCCTTGCAGCTGGGGGTGGCCCCTCAGCTCTAGGCCTGGCTGAAGCCCTCTCCTCACCGGTGTTTGTGCACGATAGCGTTGAAGGCCAGCCCGTCCCTCCAGCTCGTGGTGAAATTGTGCACGTTGACATTGGGGTACCTGCACACACGGTGCGGGGACAACGGTGAGCAGGCCGGGCCCTGGCCTGTGTCTCCAAGAGCCCACTCTCGGCGCACGGCGCAGCCGCGGGGTGGCCAGCCCCCGCACCCTCACCCCGCGGTCTTCATCTGGCACCACAGCAGCAGGGCGTCCTTGGCTGACTTCTTCTCCTTGCTGTCCTCTGTCTCCACGCTGATGTCCTGGATCTGGGGAGCAAGCGAGGGTGCTGTTATCACAGCCACTCAGATAAAGGGCAGGAAAAGCCTCGTTAGGTGGGGAAGAGACACAGCCAGGGCCGTCTTGGTCTGGGCTGGGCTGCCGGCCAGGCCCCAGGCGCAGGTTCCTGCAGGTCGGGAGGGGGCAGTTGCTGCCAGCTGCCTGTCAGAGGCGTAGCCGACGGGCTCTGCGTGGGGCTGGCAGGTGCCCGGGGAGGAAGGGGCGGGCAGAAGCGGGCTGGCGTCAGGACCTCGAAGTATAAGCAGCAGCGGGGTGGATGCGCTTTTGAGGGAGGGAAGCAGGGCCTGGGCGCTGGAGCGAGGCTCTGGTGTGTAAAACTTCCAGTCCCGCGGGCAGGACCAGCACGGAAGCCTGAGTGCAGGCAGCTTGGTCCACACCCAGGCTGCCCTCTGCCACGCTGCAGGAGGAGCGTCCGCGGGGCAGGTGCCCGGGCGCTGCCGCCATGGCGACCTGCTCCGCAGGTTCACACCGAGGCTGTGCCAGGTACCTGGAAGCGCAGGATGATGGTCCAGACCAGCCCGAGCGTCAGGCGGTGGTTGCCGTCGACGATGTCGTGGGAGCCCATGTTTTCCAAGTGCACCTTTTGCTCCTTCAGGAACTGCAGCGCCTTGTCCACGTTCTCCAGGCAGTGGATCCGCATGCGGCCCTTGGTGGGCTTCGGCTGTCGGCCGGGCACGGGGCGTGGGTCTCCTTCCTCCTGCCCCAGCCTTGCCTGGGCTGCGCTGGGTGCACCTGCCCCACGATCCCCCTTCCCCCCAGTCCCCCCCAGCCCTCCAGGAACACGGGAACAGCCCCGGGGCTGGACCAGAGGTCGTGCAGCCAAAGCTGAGGCTACAGATGCCGCCTGGGCAGATTAAGATTCCCAAGGGAATTAATTGCACCCAGAGTGGGTGGGCAAAAGAACTGTTTTCAATGGGGCCACTGTTCCTGTCTCCACGAAGCTGGGCTCCTATGGAATCCACGCGGCAAAGCCTCTCAGAAGGAAGCCGTCCTAGGCAGAGGGGCCGCTGCCCGCCGCCCGCCGCCCGCCCACCCGCGGCCGCTGCTTCCGAGGCCCCTCCTCCCTGCACGGCCATGGCTCACCAGTGTCTCCCCAGAGAGCACCTCGAGGAGCCGCAGGAGGTTGCGCCCATCCCGGAGGTCGCTGTACAGGTCTCCCACCCGGCACGTCACCCGGGCCAGGTGCGAGTTCACCCACTTGGTGAAGGTTTTCTTCTGCACGGCTTCTCGCTCATCTGCGGTGGCAACACGGGGTCACTTTGTCCCCCAAGAGCAGTGTGCCTGCTTCTAAACACACCCTGGCCGGGGCGGGGCAGGGCGGGGTTGGGGCGGCACCCCGAGAGACAGGGGAGTGAGGTCTGGGGAGGAGGCGGAGGAGGAGGGAGAGGGAAGGAAGGTGGCGGAGAGGAAAACCCGCAACTTAAAAAGCCGAGAGGTAAAGAAGTGGGAATAGGCTACTGAGCAAGGTGAAGAAATGAGTGACAGAAGACAGGCTTCTGGGAGAGAGGATGAGAGACTGCAGGACACACAGGGCAGGGCTGGGGCCGGGGCTGTGTCCTGCAACACGGTCACAATGTCACGATCGTGGCCTCGGTTTCCCTCATCTGTAAAATGGGCTCTTCGCTCTCCCACGGCACAGGGAGTTAATGGGTATGAAGCCTGGCACAAAATGGCTCCCTGATGAGAGGCTGCTTCTAAAAGCAGGTTCCCTTCTGGTTGTGGACAGAGGGGAGGGTGTGGGCTGGAGTGACGGCAACGGCTCTTCCAGGCGGTCATTAGGAGGCCCTGGCGGCGGGCGAGGCTGCAGGCCTCCCGTCCTCCTCGGAGAGTTTACAGAAAAAGCAAACCACTTGGCTTCTGGGGTGGGCTCACTCAGGCGGCTGCAGCGGGGCCAGCCCCGGTCACAGATATGCTGATGCTAGAAACACAAGATCCCGAAAGCTGGGGAGTGGGGAGGCAGCCCCGGAACCACAGCGGGGGACAGCCAGGCAGAGGTGGGCGCCCGTGGCCGGAAGGGTTAGGAAGCGGCCTGCTGCCTGGGCCAGGGGGCAGCTCCTGGCCGGCGGGGGAAGCCGTGAGGTTGCACAGACAAACACAAATGGTGCTTTTTAGAAATGTCAGAGCGAAGGAAGAGGCCCGGGCCACTGCAAGGGGCTCCGGTGGTCACCAGGCTTTCTGCCAGCCCCCTGCAGAGAGCCCAGGGCGAGGACCCCGCCCAGGGGCTGGTCCCGCGGACTCCTTGGCCTTGCATCTCAGCAACTGGAACGACTCACCCTTTCACCTCACATTCCTGTGCACCTCACCCATAAACCCCAGCAACACACCCATGTCTGCGCCTGCCTTTCTCACCTCCACCCTGGGGTCCTAATGACTGTGTGGGATGCTTCGTAGCACCTGTGGAGCCAAGGGGTGCCTCGGGCCCCCTCTTGGGCCTGAAGGGTCTGCCTGAGCTAGGCTGGTCCTGGATCCTTGACCATCACTGGCCCCGGGGAGGCACTGCCCTGACACCAGGCACACCCCAGTGGGGCCATTTTGGTACATAGGTAGGATAAAAGGGGGAGGGAGAAAAATGGACCAAGCCAAGCACCAGAGACCAGGTGTGATGTCACAAGACCCCCCCACAACATCCCTGGATCCTTACACACTCCCCTTGCACAGCAGGCTGGGGTCCCTGGGCCTCTGGCTCCCTCCATGCACCTGGCCAGGTGCCTGGAAGTCGCACAGGGTCCCCTCCCGTAGAAGAAACCTCCCGGTTCTGCCTGTATCCAGGGATTTCCTGGCTGCTAGAAACGGAGCCCCGCTAAGCCGGAGGCACTTGTCACAACCCCTCCCCACCCCGGCACGGGGTACTGCGCTCCGGCTTCGGGGAGGGGCCCCGGTACAGCCGCCCCACCCGCCCGCCCCGGGGGCTCCCCTCGGCGGGGAGCTCACCTTGCAGCTGCTTGAAGCGCCCCTCGAGCACGCTGGCGTACTGAGCCGGGTTGATGAACGCGGCCGGCGACAGCGGGAGGCCCCCGGGGTTCTGGGCCCCTTCCACGGCGTCGTAGTAAAACTCGCTGGCCCCGTTCAGGCCGTGCCCGGGCCCCCTGTTCACCCCGTTCCCATTCATGGTGCCCGCTGTCTGCTACAGCGCCCGCGGCCCCGAGTCCATGCTCCCTGCGCCGTGGCCAGCGTCCCCTCCCCGAGGCGCACGGCAGGGCGGGGGCTCCAGGGAGGTGGGGGTTTCGAGGAGCGCGGGCTGGCAGAGTTACGGGACGTCCGGGCTCCCGGGACAAGTGAGCGCTGCACACCTGGCGGCGGCGAGGGGAGACGGAGGCGGCTCCAGACAAACAGGTCGGACGGTGCGGGGGAGGGGTGGGAGGCGGAGCCTGGCTGGGGCGAGGGCCCGGCCCTGCGCGGGCGGAAAGGACCCGCCAGCGCCCGGAGTCCCGCCCTTTGGGGCCCCGAGCTGTCCAAGAGGGCAGAAGACCTGGGAGAGGGGTCCCAAGCCATCTCCCACTTCCCGAAGGTTTGCAGGCGGGGCGGGGCTGGCGCCTCCCCGGGACACAGGCTCCGATCCCCAGCTTAGGAAGCGGAGGAAGAAAAACCGGGAAAGGCAGATCTAGGCGCCTTGAGAGGCGTTTGCCTGTGGTCTCTCATCCAGACACAGGGGTCGCATGTGTCATCGCCGCCTCCAGAGCCAGCCCCTTCCCTGCGATGCACCCCACTGCCGGTGCACCTGCCGGCTTCCCTTCCCACCTCTCCGCGGACTTCAGCCTTTTGTCACTTGCAGCTTACATTTGCCCCCCCCCCTACAGTTTTTCAGCATTTATTTGGCACCTGCTGGTGCGAGGTCCAGCGCTGGGCAAAGCCCATCCAGGAACGCCTTGTCAGGGGGGCTCAGGTTAGGACTGGAGAGAAGCACCCAGCAGCACAGAATGGCACACATGTGTGTTTGTGTGTGCACAGGCATGGTGGCAGTCCTGGGTGGCATGTGTCACGTCCTACAGAAAACAATGACAGTTCCGGGTGGCATGTGTCCTGTGTGTACAGGGTGACAGTTCTAGGTTGCACGTGGCACGTGTGCACAGATATGGTAGTAGTCCTGGGTGGCACGTATCCTGTGTGCAGACACAGTGACAGCCCTGAGTGGCAAGTATCCCATGTGAACAGACGTGGTGACAGTTCTGGGTGGCACATGTATACAGATAGAGTGCAGTCCTGGGTGACATATGTGTACATGGTAGGTGACAGCCCTGGGTGACACGTGTCCTGTGTACACACCTAGTGACAGCCCTGGTGGCACATGTCATGTGCACATAGTGATGGTGCTGTGTGGTACGTGTTGCATGATGACATGACGACTGCTGTGCTACATAAATCCAAAGTCAGGGTACCACTTCCCCTACGAGGTGACGGTCTCCGTACCCCGACACCTTCTGTCTTCTCTGATCTACTAGAGCAGCAACATGAGGGTTTCACCAGCCCACCCAAAGACCCAGCCACGCAGAGATGCAGGAGAAAATGACAAGGACCTCCAGAAGCGATGGCCACCGCAAAGGGGCCTCACGCTAGCCCTGGGGAGGTTTTAAAAGTCCTGAAATCTGGACCATGTGTCCAAAGATCCTAATGTGCCATGCCCAGGGCGTTGGGAAGCTGCGTGTGTAAAAATCATCCCTGGCTGATCCTATAAAACATGTGGCGTCAGCAACCTCCCCCGGGAGCCGCTCCTCTTCCTCCCCCCCAGTCCGCAGCACCACCTCGCAGGTGGGAGTGGCTGGGCGGCAGGAGGGTCAGTGGCAGTGAGGAGGATGAGGAAGGGATGGAGAAGAGAAGCCAGACAGGGTGGGTGGCCTTCGGGTGTGTGGGTGACTCAGCCCCACGACAGCCGGTGGTGTCAGGTGGCAGCCACACTCTTGTTGCCAAGACAACCCCCCCCCCATCGAAAGGAAGCCCGCTGGACGGGTTTGTTTGTGCCCAGAGCAGCCAGAAGGGGAGAGCCCTGGCCCGAGGGGAGGGCGGGGCAGGGCAAGGCAGGGTAGGGGCCGAGGCAGGCCAGCCCAGAGCGAGCCTGGTTGGCTGTGGAAAGCGGCGGTGGCGGGCAGAGAGAACCTGCTTCAGGGAATAGGTCTGTGAAATAATGGGAGTAACAGGCGGCAGGTGGAAGGAACAGGTTGGGGAGGCTGGGCGGGAGGACAGGTGTGGGGATGAAGGAAGACACAACTGGGAGGGGAGGGTGGGGACAGAAGTGACAGCAAGAGTAAAAGTGCATAGGGATGGAGGGAAATGACCCAGGGGCCTGGGACAGGCAGGGGACGCTGTGGGCCAGCAGGGCTGGCTTCTCCAGGAAGCTGGAGGACATCCAGTGCACTCATGAGCCTGGATTTGGGGGGACCAGGGCCTTGGTGGGGTGCTCTGGCTCTCCTGGGTCCTCACCTCCTCACCGACCCTCTCATGACCTCACCTGCCAGCGCCTTAATCCGAGACCTCTCAAAGAGGCGGGCGGAGCTGCTGTCATTGTCCCAGTCGGTGTCGGGCAGGTCCCAGCGGTTGTTGATGTCACTGTACTGGCCCTGGATCTCCAAGCTGTCGAAGTCTGTGGGCGACAGAGTGCTGCTCATGGTGGGGACGGCTTCCTGATCCTGCAAGAGGACGTGGCTGGTGAGGGGCACCTCGGAGCCACCGAGCCTTCCGCTCACCGTGTCCTACCCTCCTGCCTGGGTCTGCCCCGCTCGCCTCGAGGCCAGACGTCCTGCTTGTTTGGCCGTTGAGATCAGCCCCCAGTGGGAAAGCCTGGGGACAGGGATACAACAGACATGCATGAGGGCAACCGCGGTGAACAGCAAGGGCTCCGGGGGCCTCGGGCCAGGAGGGACAGGACAGGGCTGGTGGCTGACAGTGGCAATGGCTTCCATGCAATGCGGGCAGCAGCCGCGGGGCCCCTTGGGCAGTAATGAGTACAAACCCGAGGTGCTCTGAGCCCCGCCCCCTCCCCCCCCCCCCCGAGGTCCAGATCCTGTTCCTGCGCTGGGGCAAATCTATGCTGTCCGGCAAGCGTGGTCCAAGGAGGCCACGGCACAGCTCGGTCCCCTCTGTCCCCTCTGCTCCGGAGCAGGTTAGCAAGCGCTGGATCAGTGTCAGCTGCGCTATGTACACGCATCACCCCGTCGCACCCCTCTGTGGGGCCAGGGCAGGCCCACTGTGGTCAGAAGAGGAAGTGGCAGCCCACAAGTTAGGTCACGGGGTCAGCAGCTGAGTCACGGGGCAGGGTCTTCATCACATTTGTATGTTCTTGACCTTCCTGGAGCCCTTCAGTGCTCCCCGGGAGGGAACGGCACCTGCCACTCCCTCCTAGGGCCCGGGTCGGGGCAGTTCTGACCCCGTTTGCCTGCCAGCACCATTTATGAGTCTAACTTACGCAAACATGCTCTGCTCTCACAACCAAAAAATGAGTTCCAGGTTAGCAGCCGGGGATCTTCCCCCCGCCGCCGCGTAATGCAGCAACCGCTCAAGACACTGCAAGGCAGCGTCTATAACTTTAACAGAACGCCCGATTCCACATGCATATCCCTTACTTTTCTAGAAGCGCTCAACTCCCACATACCGCTTCCCGGGCTGAGATCTCTCATGCGATCTGGGGAGGAAGGGACGGGTGGTGAGAACTGGGAGGGGAGGGAGGCGCGTTCCATGGGCGCCCAAAGGCAGAACTTGGCTTCTGTCATTAACTGGTTCCATGAAGCTGAACCTGACCCGCTGGAAGGGCAGGGTTGTCCACCCCTCCCCTTTCTCCCGGAGAGAAGATGCGCGGGAGCATTTCCCTGGGTGGCAGAAGGCCAAGGTCAGAGGTCCTAGATGTGGGCTTTCACTCCCTGTAGCAGGGAAGGGAGCTGGGCTTCCACTAGGCCTCCCATTCCCTTCTCACTCAAAATCCATCTTTCCTCCAACAGAGTCCCTGGGTTTGTTCTGTAAATATTTACATGAAAATAAATTCTAGGGCAGAGTTGAATCGCCCTGAACAAAGAGTGCTGTGGGCAGGGCATGACCTGAACTGGGGTCACCTGTCCTCTCAAGTGCTGGACAGGGACGGAGTCCACACCTCAGCACCCATTCCAAGTCCAGTGATCTTGGCCATCAGCTTAGGGCTTCCCAGCTGGCATCCGGGCTCACGCTCAGCTCTGGATGGACAATTCCAACACCTAAACACTCCCACCTCCCACCACCACCACCACCTTCCATCTCCCCAGGGGTCATGCCCCCCCACAGGAGTATCTCTTTGCCTAATGAGCTGCTTAAAAATAATTAATCTGGGGCCAGCGCCATGGCTCACTAGGCTAATCCTCTGCCCGCGGTGCCGGCACCCCGGGTTCTAGTCCTGGTCGGGGCGCAGGATTCTGTCCCGGTTGCTCCTCTTCCAGGTCAGCTCTCTGCTGTGGCCCGGGAGGACAGTGGAGGATGGCCCAAGTGCTTGGGCCCTGCACCCCATGGGAGACCAGGAGGAAGCACCTGGCTCCTGGCTTCGGATCAGCACAGCAAGCTGGCTGTAACAGCCATTTGGGGGGTGAACCAACGGAAGGAAGACCTTTCTCTCTATCTCTCACTATCTATAACTCTCTGTCTCTCTTACTGTTTAACTCTGCCTGGCAAAAAAAATAAAAATAAATAATAATTAATCTGGGATTCTATTGGTGGGCCCATGCTTCCCATTTTGCTACAGGCCTCACCATCCCCTTTCACCTCCTACCCAAATGAATTTCACCTATCTAAGTTACCTGCCTGGCCCCTAAAAACCTCTGCCTCATAGCTTCATACTCTACAAAGGACAAAAGCTTAAGGAGGCCGAGTATCTGATGTTATCTCCAAACTGTCCCTGAGACCCCTGTAGGCTGCCCAGAACCCAGACATGTACTGCTGTGGCTTCTTTACAGTCCTCCAAGGGACCCCACGGGGGGCCAGGCATGGGATGCAGACCCCCCCAGGGAGATCCGGCTGTGAGAGCCTCTCCATGGAGTCCTAGGATTCTGGGGAGGAAGTATGGAGCTGGAACTTCCTTCCTCCCCAAATAAAAATTCAGCCACTCCTGTCAAATCATGTTTGAGACATTCATGCTTTGCCTTCTGTTTCCAGGGGTGCCGTGACATAGACATGAGCCAAGCAGCCTTAGCTCACCGAGCCCCGGGGGTCACCAGGTCGCTACTTGGGAGGGTGGGAAGGAGGTTATTACCTAGGCCCCTGTATGAAGGGCTCTGGCTGGCACGGCACAGCGCGTGGCTCCAGGGCCCTATCTCTGCATCCCTGGGCTCTGATTTCCGAACATTCTGGCTCCAGTCCCCCGGCCTTTTGAACCATATGCCCGCTGCCACCTCCAGATTCTCACGGTCTTCTACCGGGAGTTTCCCCTACACAGATGCTGCCCGGGGTTCTTTCCACCAGAGCAGACCCTTCCTTGCCGTGACCTGGGTCTCCAGGCTCCTCCTTCCTGGCTCTGCCGCTGTCCTCCCACCCTCGTGACCCTGTGTTGGAGAATCCCCCAGCCCGCTTCTCCTCCGAAGGTTTCCTGAACTCTGGCCCCAGGGCTGCGCAGCAGCTAATCCAGATTAGTTTCCCCAGGACCTTATTCTTAGCCACTGACCTCGGGGCCGGGGCCGAGTAGCTGACATCATTAGAGCCAGAATAATGCCAACCCCCGCCAGCCACGGGCTCGGGGACCTGCTGGGATCCACACCCGCGCAGCCACGTGCCGGGTGCTCCCTTCCTCATTCCCGTTCCTCCTCCGTGTTAGCTGG